ATAAGCCTCTTTGTGACTAGATGAGGTCACTAGCATGTGCCCTGATCCAATATGACCGGTGTTCTTGCAGGAAGAGAAGAGACACTGAGAAAGACACACAGGGAGAAACCCATGCAGTAAAGGTGGCGAGGTTGAAGTTACGTGGCCACAACCCAAAGCAACAGCAAGGAGGCCAGCAGCCACCACAGCCGGAAGAGGCAGGAAGGGTCCTGCCTTAGAGCCTTGGGAGAGAGAGTGTTCCTGCCAGCACCTTGATGGACTTGTAGCCTCCAGCACCGTGAGAGAATGAATTTCTGTTGTTTTCAGCCACCCCGTTGGTGGTACCGTGTTAGGACAGTCCTAGGAAACAACTACTCCGCCTCGGGGCCTAGAAGAGCTTCGTTTTCCCAGACACTGTCTAGACGGCGTCTGGCAGGGGCACCCCGAGCCCGCCCCTCACCCCTCACCGCAGCCCCAGGGCTGTGAGCCCTGTGCTTCCTCAGAGGGTGTCAGAGGAGTCTCAGCTGGCTGAGAACCTTCTCCAGGGCTGGACCAGAAGGGGAGCTCTCCCGCTGTCCCCCAGCCTGATCCCCCTGGAACAGTACCCTCACCCCTGTGCTGGATTGAGCAGTGTCCCCAGAACCCACGTCCACTGGGAACCCGTGAACATGACCTTGTTTGGACACACGGTCTTTGCAGATGTAAGCCAGTGAAGATGCGGTCATCCTGCATTAGAGGGGGCCCTAAATCCTCTATGACTGGAGTCCATATCTGAAGAGGGAAATTTGGACCCAGAGACACAGACACACAGGAAAGCGGCCACATGACAATAAAGGCAGAGATTGGAAGGATGCTTTTCCAAACCAAGAAACGCCAAGGATTGCTGGCAAAAACCAGAAGCTAGGAAGAGGCAAGGGAGGATTCTTTCTTCCTTCGGAGAGAGAATGGACAGACATTTGACTTTGGCCTCCCCTCCTGAATTGTGAGAGAAGAGATTCCTTTTGTTTTAGACCACCCAGTTTATGGTCATTTGTTACGGCAGCCTAGGAAACCGATACACTTCCCATCAAAAAGACTGGCTCCACCCGCCCTGGGCGGTGCATCCTGGGGCAAGCCAACCTCTCCTCTCAGAACTTTGGTCTCTTCTTCTGCTGAGTGGAGACGCACAGTCCCACTCCCAAGCCTGAACCTGAGGCATCACTGTGAAGGGCCCAACTGGGGGCCCAGAGCTCAAAATACTGTTATCAATGGAGTAGACAGGAACTGTTATTTGTTCACTCAACAAATGTTTGTTTGTCCTGTGTGCTAGGCAGTGTTCTAGGCTGGGATCCAGCAGGGGACCAGACAGACAAACTCTTTGTCTTCACGGGCCTCACAGTCTAGGGGTGGAGAGAGCAGGGGGAGATCATTTCAGAGACACGCTGTGACACGAGCTGCATCTGGGCTGTTGGAGTTCTCTCTGCAGGGCTTTCCTGAGTTCAGACAAGGTCCGCTTCCCCAGCCTCCTCCACCATGACTGAGCTCAAGACAGCGCTAAAAATTCAGATATTTGTTTCTCCAGCCTCTTTGGTGGCCAGCTGTGAGCACTGGGTGTGTTCACACAGCACAGAGTTGCCGTGGTATTTGCCCAGCTCCTTGTGTTAGTTTGCCTGGGCTGTGTAACAAAATATCCAAACCAGGCAGCTTTTTTGGCCTCGTGACATGCGGGATCTTAGTTCCCCAACCAGGTATCGAACCCATGCCCCCTGCAATGGAAGCACGGAATCCTAACCACTGGACCGCCAGGAAGTTCCCAAAACTGAGCAGCTTAAACACTGGCAATGTAAAGTCTCACGGTTCTGGAGATGAGAAGTCCAAGTTCAGGGCAGCTCGCAGGGTTGGTTCTTTCTGGGGGCTGTGAGGAAGAATCCATTCCACGGCTCTTCCCTACTTTCTTCTAGTTTGCTAGCGATCTTTGGCTCGCCTTGGCCAGTAGAAACATCATCCTGATCTCTGCCCTCATGTTCACGTGGAATTCTCTGTGTGTGTGTGTCTGTCTCCAAATTTCCCCTTTTCGTAAGGGCATGAATCATATTGCATTAGGGACCCACCCTTCTCCAGTGTGACCTCATCTTAACTAATTACATCTGTGACAACCCTATTTGCAAATAAGGTCATACCCAGAGGTACTGGGGCTTCCATATATGAATTGGTGGGGGGAGGTCCACACATCACAAGCATCTTCTCTGGACTACCAGGAAGGCAGGCAACGCCCATCCCTCTGGGAGGCACCCATCATGCTGGGAGGCACCCAGGGCTGAGGTCAGGGTAGTGGCTTGCCACCCCCTGGCCTCCCTCTTGGAGTGTCAACTCATCTTCAGAATGTCTTATGAAGGGGGATGCTAATGTCCAGCTGTCTTCTTTTCCAACCGAGGACTTTTGCATAACGTCCAGCTCTGTTGAGCAGATGTCAGACGTGTCTCATTCATGTCCCTGTCCCCAGTACCCAGCATAGCCTGACACTTTGTAAGTGCTTAATACATTTGCGTGATTAGTAAACCAGGAGTCGTGAGTTCACATTTCACCAGGGCCTCCTCAGTTTCTGCAAATTGGGGCTAAAAATGGTATCGACAGAAGGATGGTTGGGAGAAGTAAATGATACAATGCAAGAAGTGCTGGGCACAGTGCCTGGCCCACAGTGAGCCCTCGTCACAGCGTCAGCCAGGACCTGGAGGGTGAGGGAGGGTGTAGCCGCCTGCCCCTGCCCCTGACTCTACCCTAAACCTGGACTGAAAGAAAGGCAGCTAAGGTCTTTTAAGGGCCTCCCGCATGCCACGCACAGCGTTTGTCATTCACACCCAGTTCCATCTTGATGCCTTCCACAGCCCAGCTTTATCATCCCCGTTCCACAGGTGACAAGACGGCAGCTTGGGGAGGTGATGTGTCTTGCCAGGTCACAGCAGGTGGAAGAACTGAGATTCGGGCCAGGTCCTCTGCTCCCCAGCCCCCAGCTGGACCCTTGTCGCCCGAGTGTGGTGCACATGCTTAAGCCTGTCTCTCTCCCTGGCCTGCTGGGTCAGCCCGCTGTGCCCCGTGGCCTCCAAGCCTCACCGGCCAGGCCTCCAGGTGGTTCCTCTGTCCCTGCAGACCAAGAAGACCCAGTGTTAGTGTGAAATGCAGATTCCTAGGGAGAAGAAAGGCCTTCATCCCCTGTTTGTGACCGTGTCCCGCTGCCTCAGGGACAAGAGTCTCCAGGCCATATGGTTGCCCCATTGACAGAGGGCAGCCTGTCTCATTGGCAGTCTCCACCCACGGCTCTCTGAGCAACTGGGGAGTTGGCACCCTTGCCCCTGCTTTCAGATGCCTCCCTTAACCCTTTGCTGCCCCCCCGCCCACGGCAGCCCTCCCCGCCGGGCTGTGGCCAATCGATGGCTTGGCGGCAGGTAAGTACAGAGGACGTGATTGCACAAGACCTTCTGCTTTTCAAAGACTGTCCAGCTACCCGCCTGCCTGGGCCGGGGGCCTGGGCCGCTTTGGAGGGGGACAGAGGCAAGGCTTGTGGGTGTCTCTACCTGCCCCCCAGTGCTCCTTGCTCCCATCCTAAGCACCCGTCCCTTGGAACGTTTGCAGGGGGGCGGGGCCAGGGCCTGAGAGGAGGGGAGACTGGAGGGAGTAGGGAAAATTGTCCAGGGCGGGGGCAAGGCTGGGGTCCGTGATCTCAGGTCAGGGTTAGGCCCTGGGCAGGGCTGAGGGGTAGGAGAAGAGAGGGAAGGTGTTCCCCCCCCAGAGTCTCTAAGGTGTTCCCCACCCAGTCCCTCAGTGTGCCCCCTGCCTGAGCCTGAGCCCAGCCATTCCCCTGCCTGGAGGTGGCCATCAGTCTGTACACACTCAGAAAACCCTGGTTCTCAACACGTGCTTTGGAGCACGGTCACGTCTAAACCCACCATCTCTGCTGCAGCTCCGTTCAATACCACACTTGTGATCCCAGTGTTCTGTTTTGGTCAAATGTGATATTTTTAAAAACTTTATTGAAGTATCCAATGTTCTTGTAGTCACATTAAAAAACGTAAAAATAAGCCGATGAAATGAATTTCAATAATATATTTTATTAACCCTATACAGCTAACGTGTTATCATTTCAACGCATGATCAACATAGAAAATGCTCCTTGAGCTCATATTACATTCTTTGCACTCAGTCTTCGAAACCTGGTATATATCTTGCCCGTGTGGCACGTCTCTGTTCAGACTGGCCGCATCCCAGGGGCTCAAGAGCTGCATGTGGCCAGAGGCCACCAAAATGGACAGCACAGCTCTCCAGAATCAGGTAGAAATTCAACTAATTTCCAGCTAAACAGAAAATAGCACCAACGCCACCCCAACTCCATTTTTCTCCCCTCCCGTCCCCAGAGCACAGGAGCCCAGCCTCCTTGTCTCTCTCAGAGCCGCTGGCTCCTCTGGTCTCACCTGTCCAGGTAAGGAGACCCGCGTGAGCCCCTGCCCACCCTGCACGGGCCCCCGCACAGCCCCCAGTCCTTGGTCACCCCACCTCATGCTCTAGGGGACCAGGAGCTGTAACCAGGCAGGAATGTCACCAGGCAACAGGCCTCGGGGGAGAGCTCAGATCTCCTGCACCTGCCCGCCAGCCTCCAGGGTGCCCACGGGGCGGGGCGAGGCGGGGCGGGGCACTGCCTGCCTCCTGCCTCCGGCCTGTTGGCCTGTTTACGTGCTCAGTCACAGTGCTGTCCCCAGCCCAACAGGAGGCCCGTGGAGCCTGGGGCCACAGGCCACAGGGGACAAGGGCCAGACACCGCGGCCATGGCTGTGGGCCATTGATCCAGCCCAGGCTGGCTGGGTAGGGGGTGGGGAGACCTTGGTCTGGACAAACAGAGGCTCTGAGGTCTGCGTGCAGCAGGCCCGGCACCCACCTGCCACTCCCAAAGGTAAGCGGGGACCTCCAGGCCAGGGGACCAGGATCTATGAATGACCCGGTGACAGCGTCCACCCGGAGAGCCAGGCCTGGCTCCCTGGGGCTTAAGCCAACTGCCCTGCTCCGAGGCCTGGTCTGCTGGGCCTCACGGGCCAGAGAGTGACCCAGCGAGCAGAAGGCGAGGGGTCCACAGAGCTGGGGTCGGAGGCCAGGTGTATGGACAGGCACGGGGCAGTGGAGGGGCTGCAGGTTCCGGGGGCTGGGACGCCTGGGGCTCAGCTGGAGCTGGTGGACTCTGGGGCAGGGACGGGGCAGGGGAGAGGCCTGGTCTGCCAGTCTGAGCACCCCACCCTGATTCTGGACTGGACAAGCTGCCCCCTTCGTACGCAGGTACCCCACCTGGGCTTTCCGGTATGGGAGACAGGCCCAGAGCCCCCCGACACTGCACTATACAGGGGGCAGGCTCAGAGTTGAATGTGGCCGTGTGTGCGTGTGCGTGTGTGCGTGTGTGCGTGTGTGTGTGTGCGTGTGTGTGCAGGCGTGCATCTAGCAGTTTGTATGTCACAGATAGCTGCGCGTGTACTTCAGCGTGTTTTCATCTGTGTACATCTGTGTGTGAGTTTATGAGTTTGTGTATGGAAGGGACTTTCACCCATTCCCCCCACGCCTGGGGACTCAGAGTCAAAGCAGCTCATGGTAGGGGTTGACTCTAGGCCCGAATGGCCTCCCTGGTAGGTCCTAGATAAGAATCCCAGCTCTACCTCACTCTGCTCTGCCTTACCCTGGCTGAGTGACCTCGAGTACGTCCTTTTCTCTCTCTGTACCTCAGTTTCCCCAGCCATTAAGTAGAGACAGCAAGGCTGCTGGAGGTTGAAATGGAATTCAGCTGTGGCGACAGCCAGCACAGGCTGGCACGCGGGAGGAGGAACGGCTCTGCCCCAGTGAGCTCAGCCTCCTGTAGGCAGACCGAGGACCCGCCAATGGTCAGAAGGGCAGGAGGGGCTGAGGAGCAGGTGCCAGGCTGGGGTCCAGGTTCTTGGATCAGGCGAGAAGCCTCAGGCCCCTGTGGAAATTGGGGGTACACCCAGTCCCTCCCTCCAGGCACTCACCTTCAGGGGGACACAGGGGACAGAAAGAATACCCCCAAGATGAGCTGTGCATTGATGGGGGTGGCCCCGGATGCTTCAGAGGAGCAGCCAGAGGCACTCTGGGAGGGCTGCCAGGAGGAGGTGAGAGCTGAGCTGAGGTGTGAAGGGGCCAGGTCAGGAGGTGGGCAGCCGAGGCAAAAGGAAGAAAGCAGGTGGAAAGCAAGAACTTTCAGGGTTCAAGAAACAATCGTGTGATGCTCTTCACCCAGCGCAGGCTAAGAACCCTAGATCTGTTAAAGGTTTCTACCATCTTCATTTTTAGAATCGATCGCCGAGAAGTCCCATGTCGCTGGGGTGCAGCAAGGGAAGAGCGGGAAAGGGGAGAAGGAGGCAGAAGAAGTTGGCCAGGCCACACGTGCACCCAGCACCCTGGCCCAGCAGGAAGGAAGCGCTCTCTGCTCTCAGTGCAGGGCACGCAGGGCACACAGAGTAAAGCCCCTTCTCTGGTGCAGCTTCCAGCCTGGGAGGACACAGACCAAGGACCCAGAAGCATATCCTGCCACGTTAGTCTTGAAAAGAGTGATAAAGAAAAATGTAGCAGAGAGAGGGCAGTGGTCAGGGCAGTTCTCACTGAAGAGGTAACATTTGAGCAAAGACTTGAAGGAGGTAAAGGAGCAGGTCATGAGGCAAGACTGAAGGAAAAGCATTTCTGGCAGAGGGAACAGCAAGTGCCAAGGCCCTGAGGCGACCTGTACTCCATCTGTTGAAGGTCAGGAGCTGGGCGTGGCTACCGTAGAAGGAGGGAGAGGACAGAAAGGCGCACAAGCGCCACATCACGGAGTCCCTGGTGGGCTGTGACGAGGGCTTTGGGCTCTGTTCTGGGCGGGGCTTGTGAGCAGGGCGCGTGGTGAAGACCCCTCTGGTGGTCATGTGGGAATTGGCTAGTGAGGGTGGCCGGACCACTGGCTAGTGTAGCAGTCACGGTGACCTGGACGATGGTGGGAGCCACTGAGGTGTCAAGAAGAGGTTGGGTTCTGGGGTTAGTTGGAAGGTAGAGGCACAGACTTTTCTGGTGACTAGATCCTCAAAACAATGGGGGAACCATTATATAATAAGAATAAAAGACAGGAGCTTGGGGTCATCTTCACAACTGTCAGTTGTCACAACTGTCCACTTCCTGCTGGGCTGTCAGCCCCAAGAGGGTGGGAATGAGGTCTCTTATATTCACCAGTGTGACCCCCGTGCCCAGCACAGAGCCTGGCCCCAAGCAGATGCTCAATAAACATGGAGGGGTCTGGTGACGGAATCTAGGGCCCCAGAGACCAGCACCGTCTTCCATGCCTTGCCCCTAAGGCAGTCAGATGTAGGAGAGAGCACTGCACCGGGAGTCTGGAGCCCTGGGGGCTCTACTCACCCATTCTTTCTTTTTTATTTTTTCTAATTGTATTTTTTTCAATTTTAATTCAGCTTTTAACGGTTGCTTTCTACTCATCCACCCTTTCCCGGAGGATTTGTTCAGGTGGCAGGCCCTGTGCTGGGTTCCATGGGGATCCAGAGGTGAATGAGACACAGGCCCGCCTTTTTTGTGGGGGAGAGAAACGAAGCCAAAAGCCAGTCAGATTGTTGATCTGACCAAGGGCTGCCTAGGGGAGGAGGTGGCTTACTCTCCAGGGCCCAGAGCCCATCGCTGGGCAGGTGGCCTTGGAGCTGGCCTTTAAGGGTCCCACCATCCTTTAGGCAGAGGGCGTGTCTGTACAAAGGAGCATCTTGTGGACCTGCAGGGTGACGTGCATGACGGAAGGTAGGGCTCCAGGGACGAGGGCAGCAGCCTGGCCACGGAGGGTCTTGGGTGCCACGGTGAGGGGTTTGGAGGTGGCTGGGAACCTTGAGGGGAATCTGAGCAGGTGAAGGGCTGGAGGTGGGCAGGGAGAGCTCTCTCCTGACAATGTGGAGGAGGGGCTGGAGGAGGAGCTGGGAGGCAGGAAAGCAGTTGGGAGGCTGCCCCAGGAGTCCAGGTGGGAGGCAATGGGAACCCCAGGTGTATGCCCCCCCCCCACCAATTTGGGCTGTGTCTAATTTTGGGTTTTCTCAAAATGGGATCTTCTGTGATACTCAAAGTTCTCCCAGACGGATGTGAGAGCCATTTATGAGGGAGGCAAAATCCATGGGGTGAAAGCCTGGCTTGGGGAATGGGGAGAGGAAGGGTGAGGCGTACTGAGCATCCTACCTGGGGCTGCTCCCCTAAGGGCCTCCTCTAATGGACATATGACCTTCTCTGAGCCTCAGTTTCCCCTCGTACCCTGTGAGGCAGTAGAGCAGAGTGGTCAAGGTGTTATTCTGGAGACAAACCGCTTGCGTTTGCAGCCTGGCTCTGCCGCTAACCAACTGTGGGATCTCGGCCAAGTTGCTCAATCTCTCTGTGCCTCAACTTTCTCATCTGTAAAATGGGGATAATGAGAGAACCTATCACCGCCCCCCGCCCCAGGTCTGTGGAAGGCTTACGTGAGACAGTGCGTATAAAGCACGGGAAACAATTCAAATAAATGTCAGCTGTGATCACCTCTGTGCTCCCCGGGTCCCCAATATCTCCTTGGTGATCCAGACTCGGAGTAAAATGGGGATGTGCCTCTCTGGCAGCGGGAGTGGACCTGGGGCTGAGAGAGGGCAGAAGCCGGCCCGTCACTGGGCTCTCCCGGCTCTAGCCACCCACTCAGCTCACGGGGGACAGCCAGTTTCACCAGGGGTGCCCTGGACACTCCGGGCAGTGGGCGGGACTGGAGGGGCTGCCCCACCCAACGCAGGACCTTTCCCATCCGTGGCCCTGGCCCCGTGAAAGCCAGCAGGGCCTGATACAGATGTCCAGATGTCCTCTGGTTGGGGTGGGGGGGAGTCCTATGCCCAGGTGAGAACCACCTGCGGTCACCTCCCTTCCTTGCATCCATGGGGACCACTCAGGAGACCCCTGTGGCTGGAGCCAGAGATCCTTGACTGAGAACCTTTGAGCATCACAAAAGATCCCTGTTTTCAGAATCCCTCTGTGTGAAAATCCAAGACCCAAAGCAAAGGACACTCTGCCCACCCACCCACGCACACCTGGGGACGTATTTTAAAGCCGCAGTGGCCTTTTGGGATGTGGTAAGAGGAGGCTCATTTCCTACTTGCTCTGCTGGTGGGTGGGCAAGTGAAGGACCTTCTCTGGACTGTGGGAAAACCTGCCAGAGAAGGCAAATAGCACTCAGAAGTTTGCCTGGGGGTCTAGAGACACAGCCACAGGTCTGGGGCACTGACCAGGGTGGCATTCAGGTATTATTTCATCCTGATTTGTTAATTAAAAGCTCATTTACAGGAAGTAGCCCAGAGTAGTGGAAAGAGTGGGGAGTCAGACACCTGGGCTCGACCCCCACTTACCTGCTGTGTGATCTTTGGTGAGTGGCTTAGCCTCTCTGGGCTTCAGTTTTTCCATCTGCAAAATGGGCTGGTTGTCAATGCCAGACATTCAAATCATATTGGGAAAATGAGGCTAGGAAACCCCTGGACTGAGTTATTGCTAAAACATTCTGGGTCTTAGTTTCTTCATCTGTCCTATGGGTGCAGAACCTTGAAAGGCTTTTGGAGGTTAAGCAAGATAATATATGTAAAGTGTCTACACAGAGTGGGCTGAGGAAGAGCATGGGGACCATGGTCCCCACATCCTGGTGACCAGAGGATTAAATGGGGTGATATCCGTAAAATGTCTTGCACAAACACTAAATGAATATTAGTTTTTGTCTCCTTCTCCTTCCTCTGCCCCTAAGAGACTTTGGGGCAGTGGGGAGAAAAGAGGGGCGGCGCTCCTTGGAAGGCAGTCCCTGGCTCGGCACAGAGCCGGCTCAGGGCTTCTGGGGGAGGGTGAAGTGAATGGATTGAATCGATGTTGTGGAAGCTTTGCTTTTGAGAAACAGGAGGAAGGAAAAAACATCCCCCGAATGGGAGGGAAGCTGAGGGCAAGAGGAGCTGGTTTACAGAAACTTGTACTCCGTGTATGCACGCCAGTTCCATCTGCGGGTACCTTGGGGGGTGGGGTTCAGGCAGTGAAACCTCCATCTCTCCTCTGACCGCAGATGCAAAGGTAGGGATTCTGGAGCCAGACCAGGTCCAGCTGGTCACCTGGGCGAGTTGCTCTGAGACGTGCTTCGCTCCTCTGTGAGCTGGCTCAGTGCTCACTTTCAATTACTGCTAGCTGGCGTTGTTCTCCTCCTCCCCCAAAAGGCAGGGGTGCCGTCTTACTTCTGTGCAAGGTTGGTGTTCAGTAAAGACTCCCTTGCAAATGCCAGGCTTTTTCCAACCCTGGTCTGTTTCCTTGCCAGGATGCCCATGGCCGAGGCCCCCCAAGCGGCTGGCGGGCAGGGCGATGGAGGTGATGGAGAAGAGGCAGAGCCGGAGGGGATGTTTAAGGCCCCCGAGGACTCCAAGAGAAAAGTCGGCGACTACCTCCGCCTGGCTCCCCTCTGGCTGGCCCTGGTTGTGTTGGCTTCAGTGGGGGTCCTGCTCTGGTATCTCCTAGGTAACTGCGGGGCCCTTGGGAGAGGTACCTGGGGAGGACTTGGGGTGGTCGAGGGGGCACAGCAGGACAGATCAGGATTCCAGGCTCAGCAATGCCTAGAAACCACTGTGCGACCTTGGACATGCACTTCTCTCTGAGTCTCCGTTCCTGTCCCATGAGATGGGAGTGCAAGTTCCTTGCTGGGGCCTAGTGGCCACAGTTCCCAGCAGCTGCGGAAGGAGTGCTCTCCCAGTACCCAGTTCTTGTAAAGTGACAAGCTGAAGGGGTGTAAACATTGTCTCCTCTTGCCTGCAGCCCTCCTGGGTTGCCCCTGGGGCTTGGAGCCACCAGGCTCAGCTGGAGGAGGCCCAGCGGTGCTGGTGGTGCCTGGCACCAATGAGTACATCTGCTCACTGGAGCCCGATCTGGGAGCTCTTCTAGGGTGGAGACCATAGCTCTATCATCTCGGGGTCTCCAGGGCCCAGCATGAGTGGGAACGAAGGGGAGGGGGGCACAGAACTCAGGTGTCCAGGGGGGTGTCCATGCACGTAGATGGCTTTATACCCCAGCATGGGCACATGTGGAATTCAACCCAGAGGGAATGTGGGTGCGGGTGGAGGGGAGGGCAAGAATGCCCAGAGCAGGTAGCTCAGGCATCTCCCATGTCCTGAATTTTGGCCCCTCCCTCTCTGGTATCACAGCCCTCAGTCAGTCCCCTGGAACCCCAGGAGCAACTGGCCCATGCTCTGGGTCCATTCGTCCATCCTATTCATTCATTCAGTACTGAGGACCTCCTATATGCCAGCTCTGTGCCAGGCTGTAGAGATAGTTCTGTTCTCACCATAATGCTTGGCATGTGCTAGGACAGAGACAGCAGAGGGTGCCCCGGTGGAACCCTAGCAGGGACAGCCCACCTTGCCCAAGTGATCAGAGACCTCCCATTAAGCACTCTGCAAAAGTTAGATCATTTTCTTACTGACTGCATCTCCTGGTGGAATTTCAGGTCCACTGAAAGGAATGGGGACCCACTTTGGAGCAGCCACTGGGGAGCTCAGCCTCGGCCCAGCTCTAGAGGGGGGCGAGGTGGGGGGTATTCTGGAACCCCCGGGTTGAAGCTGTTAGGAAGCCTGGGTCTGATGAGGACCCACCTGCCGTGATGCCGGATGGATGTGGTTCTCTTCAGAGCCGAGCAACGCAGGCCGGGAGTGGAAGCCGTGTGCATTTCACCACCGGCAGGAAGCCGGCGCCCCAGATAACACAGGGCTGCCGAGGCCTCCTTAGGCTGCAGGATAATTAGTCTTAAGGGGAAACCATAGAGAGTCAGGCTGGAGGGCCAGGAACTCACCTGCCAATTGTCTTTCTTCTCAGAGTCTGATTTCTCCTGATTACACTCCTAGAGTGAATCACCCCGCTGGGGGTGGGTGCTCCGTGGGGCTGAGGACCCAGGGGGTGAGTGCCCCAAAGCCTCCACTGGGGGAAGCCAACCCCTTCCCCAGAGGGATGAGGACAGAGGAGGCACTTTTGGAGATATGTGAACGATTCCTCCCGCGCTGGGCCAGGCTGTGCTCTGGGTACCGGGCACTGGACGAGGAGATGAGTCAGAGACACGCGGTGTCTGGGCTGGAAGGGGAGCTGTACGAGAGGCCTATTGCACTGGAACAGGATAAGCCTGAAGGAGCGAATGACTGGTTAAGTGGCAGCCTGACCCAGAAAGTGGCCCAGGAGAGGAGAGGGTGGGGACCGGCTTCCCAAGGCCGGTGGGCCCTGGGCTGGTCAACTTGGAGCCCAGTAGCGGGGCCCTTCATGCCGCCCAGCTGTATTTCCCTGGTCTTCTCCTTCTCCTGCTCTCCTGGGCCACAGTTTTATGCTTTATTCTCAAACCTCCCTCACCCCCCACCCACTTTGCCCCCGGCTTCAATGAGAAAACGGAACCACTCCGAAGGGAAGCCCCATAGATGCCCTCCCAGCTGTACCCACGTGCTCTGTGCTCTGCCCATCCCCACGTGTGAACCAGCCCTGCCCCATCTAGTCAGCTGTCCTCCTGGCCCAGGTCCCACTCCCTTTGTCCTCGTGGTGGCCAGGCTCCAGCCATGTCCCCTCTCTCCTCCGGTGGCACCATCCATCACCGTACAGGGCTTCTCATTGCTCCTGTACCGAATCCCTCTCGTGCCTGCACACACACACACACACACACACACACACACACACACACACAGCGCCATTTCTCTGCTCCCCTTTGCAGCAAATCCCTGTCGTTTGAAAACGCTTCGGCCCCCTGTTCCACGCCTCTTTCGGGCGCCCTTTCTGATCTGACTCCCTGCCCCTCACCCCCGAAACTCCAACAGTGCTTGTCAGGGTCACCAGTCCTCACGCTGCAGAATCCGGCGGTCAGTCCTCGTTCCATTTGTTCCATTGGCAGCACGTGACCGGGCGCCTCCCTGCCTCCTCCTTGACACGTTATCCTTACTTGGCTTCCAGGGCGCCCACACTTTCTTTTCCCTCAGCTCATGGTGACTTCTCCTCCTCCTCCTCTCTGCTCCCCCGCCACCCCGACATTCCCTTATGCCCTGAAGATTCCCAAATTTTCATTTCCAGTCTGGGCCTCTCCCTTGAGCGCCGCTGTATCACCGGGGCCTGCCCCTCCTCCAGGATGTCTAAGTGCATCTCAGACCCCACTGACAGTTAACTCCCTTGTGAATTGTCCGTCTACCTTTTGAGTATATTTTGAAGGGGCTTTCATATATATATATATATATTTTTTGCGGTACGCAGGCCTCTCACTGTTGTGGCCTCTCCCGTTGCGGAGCACAGGCTCCGGACGCGCAGGCTCAGCGGCCATGGCTCATGGGCCCAGCTGCTCTGCGGCACGTGGGATCTTCCCGGACCGGGGCACAAACCCGCGTCCCCTGCATCGGCAGGCGGACTCCCAACCACTGCGCCACCAGGGAAGCCCCGGGGCTTTCATTTTTAATTGATGTTTACCAGTTGTTTATATAAAATGATATTGAACTATTGATTTTCCATGTTTCAGAGGCAATGTGTGTTTATATATGAGATTTTTGGAAGTTCGAGATGTTGAGAAAATGGTATATAACTTTAGGGTATCATCAATAGTGACCTAAAAGGGCTTCCCTGGTGGCGCAGTGGTTGAGAGTCCGCCCGCCGATGCAGGGGACGCAGGTTCGTGCCCCGGTCCAGGAAGATCCCACGTGCTGCGGAGCGGCTGGGCCCGTGAGCCATGGTCACTGGGCCTGCACGTCTGGAGCCTGTGCTCCGCAACGGGAGAGGCCACAGCAGTGAGAGGCCCACATACTGCAAAAAAAATAAATAAATAAAATAAATAACTAAATAAAAATAGTGACCTAAGAAAATCCTTTAAAATTGAAAAAAAAAATGGAGAGAACATCCCAGGTGGTGGCCATTCCATCCTTCCCGTTGCTCCCCTAAATGCTCTCTTTCTTTTACTCCCCAGCCCCAATTTGCCACCAGCAAACCTGGTCCTCTCTAACCCCAAAACATACCCTGACTCCAATCACTTCTCTCCCTCTTCGCTGCGCAGCCTGGTCCAGTCTCCCCTGGACCACTCTCACTTGACGGCTGCAGGAGCCTCCTGTAGTTCTCTCTGCTTCTGCCTTTGCCTCCTTAGAGCCTGTTCTCAACACAAAGGCAGAGGGATATTTTTACAAAGCAAATCAGATCATCTAACTGCTCTGCTTAGAGCCTCCCAGGGCTCCTGTCGCACTCAGAGCAAAAATCAAAGTCCTTCCAGGGTTGCAAGGCCCTACATGACCTCCCCCTCCCCCATGTCATCTCCTCCTGCTCTCCCCTAGCTCACTCCTTGCTGTTCCTCAAACATCCAGACAAGCTCCTGCCTCAGGGCCTTTGCACTTGCCAGTCTGCTGCCTGAAATGCTCGTCCCATAGATTAACATCCACATGGCTGATACCATCTCCCTCTTCTCTGGCCTCCAAGTTGCAGCCCACACCAGCCCTTGATTTCCACGCCACTTATACCTCTAACGTGTTATGTCCTACGTTTGTTGTTTATTGTCTGTCTTTCTTGTTAGACTACAAGCTCTGAAGGACAGGTTTGTTTTTTCTTGATTATTTTGTTCATTGTTATACTGGTATATTCCCAAGTGCTCTAGGCCAGTCCCTAAACATAGCAGGTTCTCAATAAATATTTATTGAATGAATGAATAAATGACTGAATAGGGGTATAAACCCTGGGCTGTGAATCTATTGTCTTCACATCAGCCAAAACAATCTTTGCAAAACGGAAATCTGATGACGTCATCCCTGATTTTAAACCTTGCGTGGTTTCCCTTGCTCATTAGGGAAAGACCAAAATCTTGCCCTGCTGATGTCTCAATCTCTTATTATACCTCCCCCCATCTGACTGCTCCAGCCAAACAGACTTTTGGCCCTGCTCCTCGCCATGATCCCTCTGTCGCAGGGCCTTTGCACGTGCTCTTCCTGCTGCCCTGAAGGTACTTCCCTCTTTCCCCTCTTCCCAGTTTACTCTCCACTCCTCCCATCTCAGATGGAGGGTCACCCTGGCCCAGGTTTTCTTTGTCATGTCCCCCCCTCAATAGCAACTTGTGCTTCTTCAAGACGCTGCTGGCACATGAATCCCACAGGTTGTACGGTTACTGGGGGAACGTCTGCCTTACCCACTACCGTCAGCTCCACACAGGGAGACCCATCTGTCTTGGTTTATCAGTGTACCCCACATGGTAGGTGCCACCTGGACAACCCGCTGGACAACACAGAGGTGCTGAACCAAGAACTTGACCTGCTGGGCCCATGTGGGTTTCTCAGCATCTGTGTCCTGGACCGATCACTGTGTCAGCTTCTGCCTGGGAGCCTCTGGGACACCATTCATCAGTTGGCCTCTCTCCTCCCTGGTGTTGTGGGACCAGTTTGTCACTACGCAAACTCTGAATGACAGTGACAAAGAGGATGATGATGGTGGTGGTGCCTTGGAGGCCCAAGATGCTGGAGGCTGAGCTGGGGGTTCAGGGTGGCAGAAGAAGGTGTGGGGGACACAGGAGCCGTCCCCATCTGTTCCCTTGGTTAACTTTGCTGGTTTCTTCCTGGGCAGGGCACAAGGCAGAGATGACGGTCAGCCAGGTATACTCAGGCAGCCTCCGCGTGCTCAATCGCCACTTCTCCCAGGACCTTGCCCGCCGGGAGTCCAGTGCCTTCCGCAGTGAAACTACCAAAGCTCAGATGATGGTAGGAAGGATTGCGGGGATGGGAGGGAAGGATGGTGGGGACAAGAAGGGAGAGGGGAGGGGCCTGATCACGTCAAGCCAGTGGGTTAGTCCATCCAGCACACTCACTGGGATCAGAGCCCTGTTCCAGGCACAATGGAAACGAGGTGGTGTAGGGTGGTGGGGAAGGTAGTGGGCTCTGGGGTCAAATGCACTTGGACTAAATCCTGATTGTGCCACTTAGTAGAAGCATGACCTTAGGAAATTAGGGCAGTGCAGGGATGCTGCCCGGACCCAGCCACACACCCTCTCTTGCCGGGCAATGGCTTACTTCACTGGGGATGGTCTCCCATGGCCAGCACCTGCCACTCTTAGGTCGCAGGACAGCACCCTGAAGGGCGGGCCGGAAGTGCTGAGGAGTTACGCCCAGCAGCAACCCTCAGACGTGAGAGATGGAGAAGGTGGATAAATACCCCGGCTCCCTTGGCCCTTGGTGGGAGCGGTTCTGAAGATGCCCCCGCAGCCTCTCAGAGGTCCCTGTCGGCTGGCACCTCAGTTGCCACAGCTCTGGCCGGCACCTTCACAGCCGTGAACGGCTGCCTCCCTGCCCATCTGTCTTCCCCACTGGTGTTCCTTGGAATCACCTCCAAATAAACCGCCTGCCTCAGGACCCGCTTCTGGGAGACCCGCCCAAGGCTCTCTTTCCTTCCGTGTAAAGTGGAGTGATAACAACAGTGCCTGTCTGTAGGGTTGTCGTGGGGTTGAAATGAGAGAGGAGAGTGTGGACATTACCTCTACGCCGTTCAGAGTGCTTTAAGAACCCACAGTCCTGCATTCCACCCTGCCGGTGGCACTGCCACTGAACACGTGCAGAGACCAGGCAGCTTAGCTCGCGTGGCTGGTGGCTGGGGCTGAGGAGGGACTCGAGAGCCTAGTGGGGCTTCTCAGAGTCGAGGAGTGACTTCTGATGAGGGGGAGAGGCCACTGGTGGTCTGACTGAGGTCAGAGCTGGTAGACGTGGAGGTGTCAGGGGCAGTGCCCGCGTGTTGGGGGAGGGGTAAAAAGATGGAATGAGGTTTGTTTCCCGGCATGGCCACTGCCCACCATGTGACCACGGGCAAGCCTCTCTACCCCGTAGGCTCCTCTGTCACGCAGGGCTGCTGGGAGGGGCAAAGGGCATCCCAGGGCAGGAGGGGGTTTCTACAGAGGGTCACCAGGGGGCTCTGCTTTTTTCCCCTCCTTTTAGCTCAAGGAGCTCATTGCCAGCACCTGCCTGGGTACTTACTACAACTCTAGCTCCGTCTACTCCTTTGGGTGAGTCTCCCGGGCCCCACGACCGGCCCCTGCTAGAACTTTAGACTCAAAGAATGAAAGACACTGTAGGCTTCTGAGGCAATGGCTTCATGTTTTAAAATGGGGAAACTGAGGCACGGAGAGGAAACTTGGCTTCCTGCATGTGACCTCCCTTCACCCAGCTTGGCTTTCTCATCTGGAGAATAGGCACAATACTGTGGTAGGGATTACCCTAGACAGTGGCCGTGGTGCCCTTAGCAACGGCCTGACGGGTATCAGGTGAGGACATGGAGGAGCGGTAGGCAGCTGTCCCATTCACTTATGACTGGGTCCGTGGCACACAACCTAACCTCTCGTGCCTCAGTTTTCTCATCTGTGAAATGGGGCTGTTGAGAGCCCCTTCCTCAGAGGTTGTTAGGAGACTTCCAAGTGATAGTGGAGAGCAGAGACTGACAAGTAGTAAGCGCTCAATGCGCATGAGCCGCAGTTGGTGTCCTCCCCCAGCTCTGGGCGGGGCCCGAAGTCCAGGCTCCGCCCCCAGCCCCTCTCACTGCTGCCACATCAGGGAGGGACCGCTCACCTGCTTCTTCTGGTTCATCCTCCAAATCCCCGAGCACCGCCGGCCGATGCTGAGCCCCGAGGTGGTGCGAGCCCTGCTGGTGGAGGAGCTGCTGTCCACGGCCAACAGCTCGGCCCCTGCTCCCTACAGGGCCGAGTATGAGGTGGACCCCGAGGGCCTGGTGATCCTGGGTCAGTACTGGGGACGGGGAACGTGGGACGGTCTGGCAAGGCCTGGGAAGGCTGCTGCCAGGGCTGGGATGCTCTTGGGGATGGGCCCCCCACTGAGTGGCCAGGAGCCAGGACTGAGGGGCTGGGGCATGGGGGAGGGTGGGCAGTCAGGGTCAATGTCAGACAGGCTGGCTCTGATAGTCTCTTCTATTTTTATTTTGTATTTCATTTTATTTATTTATTTTTGATCTCTGTTTATTTGTTTGTTCGTTTCCTTTTAACAGAAGCCAGTGTGAAAGACATAGTTGCACTGAATTCCACGCTGGGTACGCGACTTTGGTTTTTCCTCCCCACTTTCCTTTTGAGTTGGTGTTTTCCTCTGAGTCGGTGTTGAGTTGGTTTGGTTGAGTGTCAGGGGTCCACATGGCTTCTATGGGTGCAGGAGGCATGGTCTGGGGTTACCCAGGGGGCACCACGGTGGCCTCAGTGATGGGTCCTGAGCGAGACTGGGGGCTTGTGGGGGGAGGGGAGGAGGTGTTGTGCACATGTGAACACATATGTGTGTGTCTTGTACAAAAGTATGTGTGTGTTGCGTGTGTGGGGGGCGAGCGAGTAGCAGATTTATTTGCACATCAATGTGACCCTACTTTTCGATCATGGAATTCCATTTGCCCACAATCTACCATTTCCACTGATGGTAGAAAATAATCTTGCCAATTCGAGGTATAGCAATCACTTTGGCTTTAAAACTTTAAAACTTTAAAACTATTTCTGTCACATTCAAGGATACTCCCTCCAACTTTTCCTTCCCTTTCTCAGCCAGCCAGGCTAATCTGCCCTCTCCTCCCACCCCACCCCCATGCCCTATTGCTAGAGTCACCTTGCTTTTCTCCAAGGGGCTCCAGTCTTCCCACTGAACCCTGGGAAGCAAAGCACCAGCAGGGCCACCATGCTGCACAACGCCAGGGAACGCTGCCCACGTTATGGTCTGTGTGACTGGAGACTCCTGCACTTGTGCAGTGTATCACCTAGGCTACCGTACCCTGTGGCTCCGAGCATGAGTTCCAAAATTCCCAGATTCTTCCTAGACTACCTGGGGAGGCAGAGTTGACATCCTGGTTATACCTTTTCTGACCTTCCTCTCCTCCCATGTGGCTGGTCACATGCTTATTTCCTTGGTGAATGGAGGTGATGGAGTCAAAGGACAATTTTCAAATACGAAAATCATGATTCTCATACAAAGATATGAGCACATATCAAAGATTTATTTAATTCACTGATGAAGGGACCAGTAGGATGTTCCCTCCTTGTGTCCAAAGGAGAGCACAAGAAACACATCTTGTGCTTATCTATCATCTGTCTATCATCTAACACTGCATTGGTGCACATGTTGCTCTGACCCTTGGTCTGGAATGGGCCTTTCCATTGCCCTTGGCTGTGCCGGGTGTCCACGTGTCCCCAAGTTTCTGGCAGTTGCTTTATCATGATCCTTATTTAGTTCAGTGCATGTCCAGAGCCCCTGCCCTCCTGGAGCGCAATGCCTAATGGGGCGAGGATGACAATTCAAGTCCTCTAAACGGGCTTTTGGGGCAGTTTGTCCATGCCAGGCCCCATGCCTGCTCTGAAGACACCAGCTGACCGTGTCCTCACCCCTGCCCTCGGAAGAGCTCTGAGCCCCATGAGGGAGACACACACATAAACAGAATCTCACATCACCTAGTGCCAGGGCTAGGACAGAGGTCCTGGAGGCAGTGCAGAAAGGGAATCGTTCTGCCCTGGGGACAGAGGTGGACCCTGGGGGCTGTGAGCCAAAGCAGAGGAAGAGATGTGCTTCTAGAGGGAGGAAGGAGTTGCTCCTGACCGGGGGGTCCTGGAAGGCTTCATGGAGGAGGGGGCAACAGACTCAGGATTGGGGGGTAGGTTGGAATCTGTCAGGTCCAGCGGGGAAGGGGCCAGGTGAGGAGAACACAGAAGGCAGTTTCATTTACTTTCGCCCGGGCTCCCCAAAGATGTTTCTGATTATCAACAGAGACCAGCACATCCCTCTCCACTTAATTTGCTTCACAAAAAAAGTAATTATTAAAATGGCAAAAGCAAAGCATCACCTTGGAGCAAGATTTAAAGAATATAAACGCCTAGGAACAGCCAGGCACCTTTCTCCAGGGGTCCTGACCCTTCCCCTTGCAGATGTCAGAGCTCTCTCCCTGGGGAGGTCGGCTCCCCAGCTGGAGTCAGGATGGCCAGGGAAGAGGGAGTTGAACAAGAGACAGCAGTATCAGAGCAAAGCCTGTTCACTCACCTCCATTCCCTTCCTGGTCCTCAGAACCACACAGAGAAGGAGGTGGGGCAGGGGTTAGTACTTTGTCCATTTGACGGAACTCAGCGTGGCTGAGTGACTGGCCCAGAGTCACGCAGCTGGTAAGAGGTGGTGCCGGGACGACCACGCAGCGTCTGGACTCCCCGCATACCAGGCTGCCTCCCACATCCGGGGCTCACTCCCGAATCCTTACTGCTTCCTGGCAGAGCAGCCATCCTCCCTGCTTCACAGGCCTATGATGACATTTAAACGACATACTTATGGCAGCATACTAGCTTGAGCTCACTTCCTCTACCCGGGCTGCCTCCCAGCCCCACTGGAACACACTCCCTTCTCTCCACCTGAAACGAAGCCCCCAGCCCGCTCCCCTTATTGCTTGGTCATCCCACTGGTCTCCCGGCCTCCTCAGCTTTGCTCCCAGTAGCCAGAGGAGTCTGTGATCCAAGCCCGACCGTGTCCCAGCCCTGCCTAACCTTCCATGGCTCCCACGGCCGCAGGAGGAAAAGGCTTCTCTCCTGGGCGTGATCTGGGTCCTGCCTCCCTCCTTCCACTTGCCCTCCTGACTCAAAGTCCCCTGTCCGCCCTGGCCTGCGGCCCTTTCCTCACTCTGTGACCTCCCAGGACTTCCCTGGGAGCCCTCACTTCTGAGCTATTCCGCCCAGTGCCTGCATCTTTCCCTGCTGCTCTCCTTGCTCCCGCCAAGTGACGGGCCCTTTCTCTGGCGCTCGCCTGGCATGGAGAGCTCAGCGAGTGCTAAGGGAACGAATGAATGAACCAATGAATGAGTGCATGGTTGAGGAGGCTGGGGATGGAGCAGTAGGGAAACAGAAAGCTGGGATATAGCATATCTGGGCTGACCCCCATCCAGCTACTCTCCCCGCCCCACCCCTGCTTGGGTGAGGACCTGACAGGGCTGGGCCCACCGCGGGTCTCTCCTCCCAGCTAACAGGGCTCAGGGGGCCTGTCCCTCTCCCCACTCCAGGCTGCTACCGCTACAGCTACGTGGGCCAGGGCCAGGTCCTCCGGCTGAAGGGGCCCGACCCCCTGGCCTCCAGCTGCCTGTGGCACCTGCAGGGCCCCGAGGATCTCATGCTCAAACTCCGGCTCGAGTGGATGCTGGCTGACTGCCGGGACCGGCTGGCCATGTATGATGTGGCTGGGCCCCTCGAGAGGAGACTGATCACCTCGTGAGTCCCTGGGAGGGCAGTGGGGGGCAGGTTGGGAAGGGGGTGACGGTGTGGGGTCAAAGCCACACCCAGTGTTCTGAGGCAAGGGGCTGTGTGACCCCAGGCCCTGGTATTTGGTATCCGGGAGACAGTGAGGCCAGCCCAGAGGGAGATGGTGAGAGGAGACTGGAAAAGGCTATGTGCTGTGAGCAATCCCCTTCCCCTCCCCCAGCCTCAGTTTCCCCATTTGTAACAAAACGGGTGTACTAGATGACCCCTAAGGTCAGCTCTAGGAGGCGACGTGATCTTGTTAGAATGCTCCAGAGTCTGGCAGCCCCAGACTTCCAACCATACTCTACCGCTTTCTAGCAGCGTGCTCTAAGCCAAGTTACTTTGCCTCTCTGCACCTCAGTTTCCTCACCTGTAAAATGGGTGCACAGCCATGCCTACCTTGCAGGGTTATTGCGAAGATTTAAATCAGACCTGCTGGGCCAGGCTCCTCACACACAGTAATGCTGTCCATTATTACTATACATTAAATGTATCCATTAAACATCCAGTAGCTACCCATTACTCCTATCATTATATATAGTCGAGTTGGGGCTGAGTCACGAAGGGCATGGAATGCCAGGAGCTATCTGAACCTTAATACTTGCTAAGTGAGGAACTAACAGAAAGTTCTTGAGCAGAGGAGAAGGGCTTTAGGATATGACATGGAATGCAGAAGGCGGGCAGGTGGTGGGCTGTGGGGAGACCATGAAGGGGCTGGAAATGGCCTTGGCCTCCAGGAGCCTGATCACCCCCCCACTGGATGGGAGAGGGGAGTAGGTCTGTAGGAGGTCAGGGGACACCCTGGGGCACCAGGCTGCTGCCTCCTCTGTCTTTCTCAGGCACCCAGCTTCCAGCTTTCGGGATGGGGGTGGGACCTGCATGTTCAAGATCAAGGGCAGTCCTGAAGGGCGAGCTGGGTGAAGGTTCTCCCCGGCCCCCTCCCCTGGGGCCTCTCTGACTCTCCAGGGTCTGAGGCTGTGCTCTCATCTGCAGCCCTCCCCCCGCCCCCCCACCGCCCTGCCACGTGCTGACCGCCATCTGGCGTGTGCGTGGGCTGGGTTCCTGGAGGGCCCTGGGGAGCCCAGAGAAGCCAGACACAGCTCATTTCCAGGAATGATGAGGGTGGGAACGCTTCAGCGCTTTCCCTGGGGCTTCTCCAAGTGCCCCCCGCAGCCTGCTGCTGCAGAGGGGACCTGACTGCCGGCTCAGCTCTGTCCCTACTCACTGTGGCACCAGGTGGCTCACTCCGTCTCAGACCCTTGGAGAAGGTGTAAAATGACAGGTCAGACAAGACTGGAGAGGTCCTCAGACTTGCACCCCAGACCATGAAGGGGGGACTTTGGTGGTAATGGGAAGACGCGGGGGCGGGGTTGGAGGGCGGGGGGAGCTGGTGGGACCTCCACCAACTTTCACCTCGTTTTAGTTACAACAAGGGCTCAGCTGCTAAGTAAATAAAAGAAATCCCTAATATTAAAAGCAACTAATAAAGGCGACCTCAGGTCCCTCTTAATCCGTATATCTTACCTCCCACCTCCTGGAGGAGGGGAGCAGTGGAGCTGGGGAGGGCCTGGTACCGCAGGGTGGACCCCTCCCCCCGCCCCCCACAGTGAGATCAAGCCAGCTGTGGTCAGAGCAGGAGGACGAGGAAGTGGGGACCAGTGCCTGGGCAGGCAGAGGCCAGGGGAAATGCCCCTTCCCAGGACCCTGGGGCACCAGGACCCTCCTGGGGAAATTCCTGGGATTGCTCAGTCTTCCCTCCAGTGGCCAGGGTTTCCAGGGCTGCTGTGGGTGGTGTTTTTGAGGCTGTGCTTGGATTTCTCGCGCTTCCCTGGGTGCCTGCAGCCCCCCACGTGGCCACCCACTCCCATCTGTCAAGGCCAGAGCTCCAGGGCTGGCGCCGGCCAGGCAGTACCCCGCAGCTGGATGCTGGTGTGCCCCCTCCGGGGAAAGCAGGGTTATTAGCTTTCTGGGAATTGGTCCACCGATTAGCAAGGGCTCCAGAGAATTATGTCGGAGGCAAGGGGAAGTTCGGCAGATGTTGGCAAAGAGTGAGGGATAGGGAAGCCGGAAGCACCCCACCTGAGATGGGCCGACCATGGGCATGGACACAGCAGGGGCGCCAGGCGCCGTCACAGGCAGTGCCTAGCGTGGGTCTGTCTCTGCTGTGGACCCAGGGTGGGGCCTTGGCACGTTCGTGAGCCTGGGTTTCCCCACCTGGAAACCAAGCGGTTGACCTTGACAATCTCTGAAAAGCCTTTTCAGGGCTGACATTCCTCTAAGAGTCTAGAATTCTAAGATACTGCTATTTCCTCTGTGCCTCCCCCATGGCAGGCTCTGGGTAGAATCCTGAGGTGCCCAAGGGATCACCAGACCACACACCTGTCTTCTCTCTATTCCAGCCCAGAACAGGGCCAGGGGTCAGGTGTGGCCAGCCAGCGTGTATAGTGCCAGTCTGGTCTGCCTACTGGGCACTCAGGGGTCACAGGGATTCTGAGGGTGTGGAGGGGTGCTATGGGCCTGGAATGAGCCCTCACAGTCGAATTGTAAGCTCCAGAAGTCTGGGTAACCTTTTGGCTTCTCTCCCCTGAGGAGCTGGCCTGACCCTTACAGGGCCTCCAGTCAGCCCCCTGGGCCAGAGACGGTCAGACACCTGCCTGAGGACACACAGCAGACTAGCCGAAGACCCAGATGTATAGGCTGCCAATCCCTCCTCCTCTGCTCCTCCCGGAAACCCGCTGCCCCCCCTGATGCCCGTCTCAGACCCTGCCTCCCCCGTCGCCACCTTTTTCTGTCCCACCAGGGTCTATGGCTGCAGTCGCCAGGAGCCCGTGGTGGAGGTCCTGGCATCGGGTGCCGTCATGGCGGTGGTCTGGAAGAAGGGCCTGCACAGCTACTATGACCCCTTCGTGCTCTCCGTGCAGCCCGTGGCCTTCCAGGGTGAGGGGTCAGGGGTTCCTAGGGGATGGGAGGGGCACAGTGGCAGAAGCCAGGGGTGCTCCTCGGGCTTGCCTTCACCTTCTTTGCTCTGGTTGGGGATGGGATGGGGGAGGGAAGGTTCTGGAAGCGCCTCTGCTCTCCAACCTCACCCCCACCCCTGGACCCCCTTTATCTCTCTCTATTCTCGCTCCATTTCCCCCACCTTCTCCCTCACCCCCTCCCCTGCCCCTCTCTCCCACCCTCCCTCATCTCCCCCTCATTCTCTCTCCTGCCCTCTTTCTGACTCTTTCTTTCCTGAGTTTACTGTCTGTCTGCCCTCCTCTCTCTGTCCTCCCCTTCCCCCTCTTCCCTCTGCACCCACCCTGGCTGAGCCTGGAGCGTGGGGTCCACCAGACAACCCTCTCACACCAAAGGCCAACCACACAGTCGTCCCTGGAGATGGCTCAGGGGAGGGCGATTCCCAGCATTCCTTGGGAAAGGGTCCCCCAGGCTGCCCCACTGAGACTTCCCCACTCTCCTCCTGCTTCCGGATTCCCCCTCCTCCACCCCCTTTCTCAGGAAGAGCACGTCCCACCCTTCACACCCGATGGCTGGCTGTCCTGGGCTGTCCTGGGCTCAGTGGAAGGGAGGGTTGCAAACAGGAACTACACAAAGAGCCTCTCCCCGCCTCTGCCGTCAGTCTGCCTCTTCCCACCGGCTTTCCCCTCCGTCCCCTGGTGTCCACCCCACTGGTCTCCTGCTGGTGGCCCAGGTCCACAGGTGACCCCTGGGAGTCCCTGGAGCTAAAGAGGTACCAGAGCTGCCCGTTCTCATGGGCGTCTCTGACATAGCTCTACGGGGAGGGAATGGGGGCTTTAGGGCCCCTGACTTCCATGGAAGGTGTTGTGCTAGCTGGGAACACACCTGCTGCCCATGCCTCGCCCTCTCACTGTGTGACGTCAGCCAAGTGGCTCCTCTTCCGCAAACCTCATCTTTGAAAAGGGGATCGATTCTCCCTCCCCAACCCCCGTAACTGTGAGGCTGGCGCAGCAGTGAGCACATTCAGTAAACCGTGAAGGGTTGCACAGCTGATGTCAGTAGCGAACATTTATTGAGCACTTACTACATACCACGTCTGTTCAATCCACTCAACTACCCTATGAGGTATGTACTGTTATTGTCCCTGTTTCACAGATGAGGAAACTGAGGCCCAAGGTCACACATTCACACTCAGTCATCAGGCTGTACTCTTTAGTGGCAGTAGGGGGCATGGGTTTCAGCTGCCCCCCACCTGCTGGCAGGTGCAGCGGGGTGGGTCCAAGGCACCCTGTGTAACTTCTGTTCTCCGGGCCAAGCCTGTGAGGTGAATCTGACCCTGGAAGGCCGGCTGGAGCTGCAGGGTGTCCTCAGCACGCCATACTTCCCCAGCTACTACTCACCCAGCACCCACTGCTCCTGGCACCTCACGGTGAGCCCACCTACCCTCTGCCCAGAGCACCCTATAGACCTCCGGGGATCCCAGCTGGGAGGGGAGCCTATCCTGCCTCTGCTGAAGCACCCACAGGCTGAGCTCTGGGTACCAATCCTTCCAGGGCGGGTGGGATGGTTCTGTTGCCATGGCGACGCCTGTTTGCTGAGTGACTGACAGACCTCAGCCCCAGTTGGCACTCTGTGTTGGCAGGCCCCTTCCCCGCTTTGTTGTCCTGGGAGGTGGGACCACCGCCTGGCCGTAGCCCATGGGCCGCCTGGTGACTGGCTCCTCTGTCCCAGGTGCCATCCCTGGACTACGGCTTGGCCCTCTGGTTTGATGCTTACACTCTGCGGAGGCAGAAATACGACATGCCATGCACCCAAGGCCAGTGGACCATCCAGAACCGGAGGTACCCGCCCGGAACCCCCTTCCTGTCCCTGCAGGTAACCCCCCTCGGGAGCCCAAGTCTGGGACCTCAGAGGGGCATCAGGCTTGTTGCCTCACCCTTGACCCAGTCCCTGTCTCGGCCCCCAGCCCGGGCCTCAGCCTCCCCTCCTGCCACCCAGAAGTCTCAGACACACATTTGTCATCAGCCGCCTTGGATGTTGGTCCTAGTTAGACTGAAATGGTTTCATTTCCTTGGGTGCTGTCACCCCAAATCCTTAAGTGAGATGACGCAGAGCCACAGGACTCAGCAGTGCTAGGGTGCCTTTCCCTAAACCCGACAAGTGCAAATGCAGACACCTCTTGCTTATCCCGCTCCCTGCTGTTGGCCACATTCAAGCGGCTTCCCGGCTGTGAAGCTGCAGAGCCAGCGCCCATGCCGCTCTTGCTAACCCGACCGCTTCCCAGGGCCACCCTGAGTCACCCGTGCCCCCTGTGGGGCGCCAGCCCTTGCTCTCTGTCCTGCCCTTTGCCCCCCGGTGACAAAGTTCCTGAGGAAGAATTGAGTCCCTTGGGGAGGTGGGCAGGACGCAGCGTGGCCAGGCCATCCTCTGGTCGACGTGCTGCAGTTTGATCAGTCGGATGAAGGCTGGGAAATGCCTACTATGGCTGGCACCCTGTGGGCCACTGTTGGTCCTGACGTCTGCAAGGGAAGCAGGGAACGGAGGCAGTGCAGACGCGCTTTCCCTGGTCTGGGGAGTGAAGGAGAGAACTAGGGCATTCAAGGAGGGGGTATTTACAAGGGGAGGGGCTCTGTGTCTAAATGCTGTGCGGGAGCGTCCCTCAGAGGCAGAGAGGATGGGTCAGGCACAGGGGATAACGGGGGCAGGGAGGGAAAGCAGAAGGACACCCTCCCATGGCTCCATTTTTGCAGCGGGGGCAGAGGCTTGGGGAGAGAGAAGGGATCTCAAAGTAGCCTTGCAGATCTGGGGAGACCCCTCCCCACCTGCGGTACAGAGATACTGAAGAGAAGATTCTACATCTAGTAGCAGATTGGGCCTCTGCTCGCCTTCCAACCCTGAGGTCCTAGGGGTCTAATGGAGGCTGGGATCCTAATATGCAAGGTTCTTGATTTCTCGGTTTCAAAGATTTTGAGTATCCAAGATTCCAGCACACTAAAATTGGAAAGTTCTAGGACTCTGGAATTCTTGGATTCTGGGGTTGGTGTCCACGTTCACCAATGCTTGTATATATTTTTTATATATATATAAATTTATTTATTTATTTTTGGCTGCGTTGGGTCTTTGTTGCTGCACGCGGGCTTTTCTGTAGTTGCAGCGAGCGGGAGCTTCTCTTCGTTGCGGTGCGCAGGCGTCTCATTGGGCGGCTTCTCTTGTTGCGGAGCATGGACTCTAGGCGCGTGAACTTCAGTAGTTGTGGCACTCGGGCTCAGTAGTTGTGGCACATGGGCTTAGTTGCTCCGTGGCATGTGGGATCTTCCCGGAGCAGGGCTCGAACCCGTGTCCCCTGCCTTGGCAGGCGGATTCTTAACCACAGCGCCACCAGGGAAGTCCAACGCTTGTATTTTGCTTATCGGTTGATCCTTTTGAAAAGCGTCAGCCAGACGAAAGGGGGCGGGGATTGATGATGCTCGTTCACTCGTCATCATCCTTTCCAGGGAGTTTGCAATTTATCAGGGACCATGATTAAAAGGAAAAAGAAGACATGCCGAGGGTGTGAGTTCAGGCCTGTGCTGTTTGGGGGTGATGTCAGGTGGTGTGACTCTGGCCCGGTGCTTTTTGGAGAGCAGAAGGCATCTTGTCCCACGGGTCCCAGCATGCGGGTGGCATTTCTGGGCTTGGCGCCCTTGATCCTCTGTGGTGCTCCCTCAGGGCCCCTCCCCACCTGCCTGGGGGCTTCCCAGACTGAGGATGGCTGGGCTCAGCCCCCAGCGTCAGGAGCCCAGAGTGACCCTGAGAGTGGTCCTCGATTCACGGTTCTCCACATGGTGATAGCGTTTTTTCCCGCCACCCTCTCAACCCCATAGCTGAATCTGATATCTCGGCGAGGGGCTAGGAAGGGGTGAGAAGGGCCTGGGTCTGATGATCCCGCACTTAGCCCCCAGCGCCATGGCTATTCCATTAGCCGGGAGCTGGGCCCTGGCACCAGGCGCCCCATTCCACCTGCTTGGTGCTCAGCACAGGGCATCAGTTCATGGCCCGACAGCCTGTGATGTCAGAGGCATCATCGTTCCATTTCCCAGAGAAGGGAATCGAGGCTCAGTGGGATTAAGTAGTACCCAGATGGGTCCGCAGTCAGGGCCTCTCTCCCATGCCCACCACTAGCCATGAACAGCAGGACACACGGTGGTCCACAACGTGCTCCCCCTGCAGGGCCTTCTTCCTGCCTCCCTGACGCAGCCAGGAGGGTCAGGCAAAGGTGTGGGCACTGGGTGCTGGGACTTCATGAGCTACCCTTGGGTTTCAAGTGTGGACCACAGATGGGGAGAGTCTTCATCAGAAGGAATGATAGTGCAATGGTGAAATTTCAGGCACTGTGACAGAGTCTATCGGGGTTGGAGGAGTCTCACCTTCCCCACTGTCTCAAAGCACCGTTGAGCTATAGAAAGTGGGCTGGGCTGACCATCGAGCCCTACCCTCACCCATTGTACAGGTGGGAAAACTGAGGTCTAGGGAGGACTAAAGACTTGGCTTCTTGTTCTTGTCTTTTTGCATTTTTGAAGTGGTGGCAAGGGACCAGGGTGCAGCTGGGTTGTGGGTGGGGTGGGAGGGTGAGGTTTGACAAGGTCCAGCACTCCCACCCCCTCCTCTCTCTTCCCAAGTCTCACCCCCCCCTGCTGGGGGGTTGAAGATGTGCTTGGGGGCGTCTGGTTACCTGGTTTCTGCATGTAACTCTGGGTACACCCCCTTCCTCATCTGTAAAACAAGGGGGTTAGGCCTGCCCAGGGTCCAGGGCCCCAACTTTTTATTATTTACCCATCAGAAAGATGTCTTCCAATAAGTTGTGTTTATTAGCTCCTAATGAAATGTCATTCCAAGTTGGGCTGGAGAGGTGGAAAGAGCTTAGCTGTTGAAATGAGACACAGCAGTGTTCAAACCCTGGCTCCTCTCCTTCCATTCAGCAAGGACTCACCCCTCCCAGCCTCAGGTAACTCATCTGAAAAGTGGGCATGCAGCAGGTCCCCATCCAGGGAGGAGTAAGTGAGATCGTGGGTGGAGGACGCCGGCTCCTGCAGGCCGGGATGGGCAGGAGCTCCAGAAGGCGCTGGCCATGAGTTCGTAACTGGCTCTGGGCTCTGCACCAGGCAGGCCCAGAGCTCAGGTGCCGTTTCCATCACCCTCAGCAACCTGGTGAGGAAGCAGGCCCCGCACTGCCTCCTTCATAGACCAATGAGGGACTGAGGCACAGAGAGGCAAAGACATTCACACAAAGTCACCCAGCTCGTAACTAGAGAAACCAGAGTTGAGCTAGGCAGCATGATCCAGAGCGTGTGTGGCGGCGTGCGGGCCTGTGTGCACACATCCATGCACGTACGCGTGCTCATCTGTGCGCTCACACTCGAGCAGAATCTTCCTGCAGAGCCTCCGAGCAGCTGTGCCAGCTGTTCCCTCCCTTGGCCGAGCCGTCCCGACTAACGCACTGGCATCCTGCTGAGGGGACGGACAGCTTCTGGGGCTCTCCTCTCGTCCGCTCCGAGAGCAGCCTGGGAAGTCCCATCCCTGACTTCTCAGACCTTCGTTAAGGGTCCGGGGTCCCGCGGTGGAGACTCGTGGCCCCCTGCCCCCAGGCTCCTGCCCGTGTCTGAGGGTGGAAGGGAAGGCAGAGGTGTACCTCCAGACTGTAAGCACCGGACAAACCATTTCCTCTAGTTCTGATCTTTTTTGATAACCAGCAGCCTATGTAGTTGCTGGGAAATTCTTTGAATAAGCATTTGTTGGAAAATCTGCTTGTGTGGGTGGCAAAGACACAAGAGGTCTGGGGAAGGGTGTAGATTTCCAGGCACAGGATTTGTAGGGAGGGGGAGGCACAGTCCTGGGGCCCAGAATGGCCATTGACGAGGAGCGACAGAGGGTGGGTGTGGGGAGAGGGTGTCTCACCCCTCAGGTGCCAGCACAGTGATGAGGAGAGGCTGGTGCGGGTTCCCCCACGGGCGGGGCGTCCTTGGGCACTGTCACCTCACTCCCCTGAGCCCTTTCTGCCTTCCCCCTACCTCCCTATTTTCTACCCAGTTTCTCCCCAGCAGAGGCCTCATGCCCTTTGAGTGGCCTGGGGGCAGGGCAGGGAGCTGACCTCGTGAAATCCGGCAACCATTTCCACTTCACCGACGGGGACAGGCAGAGCCCCTGGCTCCTCAGGTCTGCTGGAGCCCCTCAGGCCCGGCCTGGCTATGGGGCGGCCCTTCTGCTCCTTTGATCCCCTGGGCGGCCACAGAGGCTCCTCGGGCACTGCCGGGTGCTGGCGATGAGGAAGAAGGAGCTCCAGCTGCTGCCCTTGGTGAGCTCACAGCCCGACGATAGCAGCTGGTTTTCAAAGAAATCATTTCTCACGCATGCCATAAAACACCCTACAAGGGAGCTGTCACCCCATCTTACAGACTTGAAAATGGGAGCTTGCTGAGGTTGAGGCAGATGCCCAAGGTCGCACAGCTGGTTCACGTGGCAGAGCCCAGCCTCAGCTCTGCAGCTGCAGGTCCACCACTCTGGCCACCAAGTGAGACTGCTGTCCTCCCTTTTCTTAGTGCTTGTCTTTGCTGACTGTCTTTCCCGTTTAACCTGTCTTTAGGGAAGGGAATGCATGTATGTGTGTATCCATCCATCTATCCTTCCATCCATCCTTCCATCCTTCCTTCCTTCCATCCATCCATCCATCCATCCACCAATTCTTTCTTCCTTCCATCCATTTACCCATCCATCAATACACCAACCCACCCTTCCTTCCTTCTGTCCATCCATCCATCCATCTACCATCCAATCTTTCTTGAACTCCTCCCTGTGTAGAGTTGCTGACATGCAAGGTTGACCGGATCCCTGCTTACTGTCTAGGTGAGGCAAGAAGGAAAATTCTCCAAATCCAGAAAAGTGAGAAAGCGCAAGGCAGCCCCGGTGCAAAAATGTGCTTTCAGACCCCCAGCACTTTGTAGCTGAGATGAGACGTGGACTCCACAGCTTTCAGACTTCTGGTGCTCCTTGGACAGGGTTTGGGGGGAGGGGGCAGCATTTGGTGGATGGGGAGGGATTGGAGAGCCAGAGGACGCAAACCCTCACGCAGAAGGCACTGCGGCAAGAACCAGAAATGATGATGTGCAAAGGGGCTGGGCCAGTGCGTGCGTAGTTCCTTGAGGCAGGCTGCGTGGGGGAGAGGGAGGGAGGGAGGAACCTGGTTAGCTGGGCCGCACGTGCCCCGCCTAATCCGGGCAGCCTCTGATCACTTCCAGCCAGTGTTTCTAGGGCTTATTTTTCAGAAGCAAGAATCTAAGATGTTATGTGAAATTAGCTGGCAACTACATTTGAAAAGAAGTTTTTAATACTGCACAGGCTAAACAGATTGTCCTTAGGCTGAGTGATTCAGCCTGAGCTGCCGGATTACAGCCTCTTTTCTGGCTCCTGCTAATGAAGAGCCTCGCCCCAGAAATTCTGCCACCTCCTGTCTGCCCCAGGCCTCCAGGCTGAGGACTGAATGCTGCCCAGGCTGAGCAGGTGCCTGAGTACCAGGCTGAGCCGCAGGCCGATCCTGGAATCCTCTCTTGGATGCCGGTAGAGAAATGTCCTATTGGCAGATGCTGGTGTCTTAGAGCCTCTGGCCAAGTCTTGAGGTGACCCTGCAGCCCTCAAATTCTTATAAACTGAAACATTCCACTGCCCTCCAACCCGGCTCTGGTTCCCTCCAACCCGGCTCTGGTTCCTTCCCTGTCTCTCCACAGTCTCCCGTGACTGTCTGGGGACAGTGCCCCAGGCCCCTGAACCTTAAGCACGTTCAGGAACGCACCTGATTCCTCATTTCCCCCTGCCCGGTATTTCCCAGCCCCCAGATCCCCTGTCCACTCTCCAGGGCAATTCTCTGGGGATAGTAATCCATGATAGCATTTGTTGATCTACTTTAAAAACAAACCACAACACCCCCTTGCTTCCTTAGTTTTAAAAGGATAAGGACGAGGCTTGTGCAGGAGCGCCCCCTGGTGGCACCTCATCCCGCTCTGGTCCCCCTGGCTGCAGAGCAGTGGTTCTCAAAATTTTCCATCTCAGAACCCCTCTGTACTCTTTAATTATGGAGCACCCCAGAGAGTTTTATGCCTTGTATAAAAACTATATTTTTAACCTATATTTACAGTATTAGAAATGAAAACCGAGAACATTTAAAAATATTGATCAGTTCATTTAAAATAATAAGAAACCCATTATATTTTAACATAAAGGACATATTTTATGAAAAATTAATTATATTTCCCAAACTAAAAACATTTGGTGAGGAATAATCTCACCGTTTTACATTTTTGCAACTTTCTTTAATAATTGGATTAGTAGACCACAAATGAATCCCCACACCTGCTTCCGCATTCAATGGGCTACACATCACATAGGCTCTGGAAAATTCCACTTTACCTTGTGTGAGAAGAGAGTGAAAAAGGCAAATGATACCTGAGAATTATTATAAAAATAATTTTTACTCTGGACCCCAAGTGGTCCCCAGACCATAGTTTGAGAACTGTTTATTGGTATGGGGGCAAGAATATCACTGCAGGCAAACAGTATATGGGGAAACTAAACCTTAGGCCAGGTCTGAGGGGAGTCATGGGGAACGTGAGGGCTCAGCCCCTAGAGCTCATGTGGCAGTGACGGTCAGGGTGCACCTCCGCACAGTGCAGGCTGGGTGGGGCCTCCTGGGTCCTGAGGAAGCTGGCTTCTCGTCCACCTCAGCACTTCCCTTCCTGAGCCTTATCTGGAGAGCGGGATGAGAACAATCCCTCCTCACAGGGTGGAGTTGCTGTGAGAACCGCAAAATCCCCATGCAACGGGGCCTCCAACTATTACTGAACTATTAAATGCTTGCCGTGTTCTGGAAGTTCTGAGGAAGCCTCTGGCTTCTGGCTCTGTGGGCTGCTGCATCTGCTGTGGGATGTTCCCATCATGCTTTGGGGCACTCCCACTTGCTCTCTTGACTTCCTCCTACCTTCTCTGCTGGGGGCATTTTCACCTCTGTCTGCAGACCTTTCCACCCGTGTTCTGGGTGTTTCCCTCACCTGTAAAGGCATTCCTGTTTGCTCTGTGAGGATACTCCCTTCCCTGTGGGAGGCATTCCTAGGGGCTGATGGGGCCAACCCATCTGTTCTGTTGAGGGTGTCCCGCCTGGGAAGGCAGGGAACCCCAGGCTGCTCTCTGAGGAGGGTCCCGCTGCTTGGGGGGCGTGGCTGCGCCTGCTCCATGAAAGCATGGCCTCTTGCTGTGTAAGGCCAGGTGTGACCAGGCACCGTGTGGGATGAGCGCTGTGCCCCTCACCCTGGAGTTGGGAGGATTCTTACCTGCTCTCTGCGGGGAATTCCACCTGCTCTGTGGGAACGAGAGCATGATCGATGGGGACGGGGGTGTCCGACAGGGATGGGAGTGTGCTCCCACAGCTGGGGGGTGGTCCCACCCGAGTGTGGCCACTCACGGAGAAGGTGCCGCCCATCAGCATGGCACTGCTGATCCTGGGAGCGGGACTGGTGCCTCCCTCATGCCCAGAGGGTCACAGGGAAGCCACCAGGGCTGTGGAGGCTTCTCAGTGGGAGGGAAAGGCCTGAATGGGGAGCGAGGCTGCCTTCTCACTCCACACCGAGCACGGGAGGAACATCCCTTCCAGTCTATGGAGAGCAGACCAGTCAAGGACTATTGCTCCCACTGACACATTAGAGACTTTTGTCAGATGTCAGGTCAACAGACATGATAATTTCCCTTGTTTTACAAGGGAGGAAAGTGAGGCTCAGAGAAGGACTCTGACTTGCTAGACTCTTACAGCTCCTAGGTGACTGGAACTAGAGTCCAGACGTTAACTTTTATCCTGCAGGCAATGGGGAGCCATTGAAGGTTTTTGAGCAGGGGAGTGACATAGCCAGGCTGCTTTCTAGATGACTCTGGGGGTGAGTGGCCACCCAAGGGAGAAATCAAGACAGAGGAGGTGGGGGTGGGCTGGGGATGTGGCTCCCCCTTCCTTTCCGACCGCCCTGTCCTTGCCCTGTCTGTACACGGGGACCCAGGCTGTTCCTTACCTAGGACCAGACCGTGTGGCCCTGAGCCTGTCTCTGGTCACCCCCAGGCTGTGTGGCCTGCGCACCCTGCAGCCCTACGCCGAGAGGATCCCTGTGGTGGCCACCGCTGGCATCACCATCAACTTCACGTCCCAGATCTCCCTCACCGGGCCCGGCGTGCAGGTGCACTACAGCTTGTACAACCAGTCAGATCGTGAGTGTGGGCAGGCTGGGGATTGGGGCGGGACCCCCTAAGCCCCCGCGGCTTCTCTCTGCCTCTGAGCTGTCCCTGGAAGCACCAAGAGGCTGGTCAAAAGGAGTGTGTGTGTGTGTGTGTGTGTGTGTGTGTGTGTGGATAAACATATGCAGCTTTGTGTGTGCTCACGTGTGCAAGGCAGTCATACGTGTTCACGAGGTACATACACTCATACCTACCCGTGTGTGTGCTGTGTGCATGTGCCCGGACATGTATGTCCACATGGACCGTGTACACAGGCCTGTGGGTACACCTGTGAGCACGCGGGTGCCTCGTGTCTGCACGTGTTTTCATGCTGATGCGTGTCCTAATGGCTCCTTCCCTGTCCAGCCTGCCCTGGAGAGTTCCTCTGCTCTGTGAATGGACTCTGTGTGCCTGCCTGTGACGGGGTCAAAGACTGCCCCAACGGCCTGGATGAGAGAAACTGTGGTGAGCTGCCCGCCCACCCCGTCGCTCCTCTCTCCTCACCTCTGTGCTGGGCTGAGCCCACCCTTTCGAAACCCGCCCCCCACAGGCAGCTCCCATTAGCAGCATCCAGGAATGGATGCTGGGCTCCCTCGCTGTGCTGACATGGAACGGTGGAAGCACAGAGTGAGGGCCACCCAGTGGGGCAGTGACAGGGACAAGCTGGGACCCAGGTGTCCTGACTCCCAGCTCAGGGCTTCTCCCCACCAGGCCATCACCCCCAGCCTTCTGCCAGGACAGCCGTCCAAGAAGGAACAGAGCAGATGAGGGAGGGTAGGACCAGAAGGGGGAAGGCTATCAAGAAGAGCCCAGCAGACCCAGGTTGGCCAAGGAGAGGATCCTTCATCTGCCTCCTCTGAGTGGGGTCCTCCACTGCAGGGGTTCAGACTGGAGCTGCCAACTCTTCCCGAGGTGTGCTCACCACTGCCCAGCCCTGGCAGAAGGGGCTCAGGGTCCTGATGGCCCCCGAGCCAGGGCTCCCTCGGATCAATACCTCTGCCTCTGAATCCTGGCTTCTGGCTCCCAGAGTCACCATCAGTACAGCCTGTTCCAGTCTGATCTCCCCAGACCACCTGCATCCCATCAAAGTTTTACATATGTGGGGAGAGAAGCAGGAGGGAAGGGAGGTGTGCCTGCCTCTGCGCTGATCCTCTGATCCTGCTCATGAAGGTGCCTCCTATTTGGAACCAGAACATCTGGCGTCAAGTTCTGGCTCAGCCAGGTGACCTTGGAAAAGTCACTTCATTTCTGTTTCCACCGATGAAATGGAGCATCTCACAGGGTTGCTGTGACACTCAGGCGTAAAGTAGCTGAGAAAGAAATTTGCGATCATGACACGCGATACGATGCACAGTCACAGGCAGCGCAAAGTCCCAGCCTGGTGCCTCTGGCTTCCTCCCACCTGTCCCCTCCCTGTGTCCTCATACAGTTTGCAGAGCCACGTACCAGTGCCAAGAGGACAGCACATGCATCTCACTGTCCAGGGTCTGTGACCAGCAGCCTGACTGTCTCAATGGGAGTGATGAAGAGCTGTGCCAGGAAGGTAGGGTGGGGTACGACCCGGTATCTAGAGGGAAACCGAAGAATGCGCTCAGCCAGATAGCCCAGCCCTTCTGCATGCTTCTCCTCAAAGCTTTCTGCCCTCTTGTCCAAATGCTTCCCAACCCATTTATAAGTATGCCTATATGTCCGTCCGTCCGTCCATCCATCCATCCATCCATCCATCTTCTGGTCTCCCCAACCATCTTGTCTGTCCATTGATTCATACATCCACTCACTCACTCATCCATCGGCCTGTCCAACCACCTATCTCCCTATCCACTAAGCCATCAATCTACTCACTTACTGGTTTACCCAACTGCCTCTCTGTATGTCCATTGTTCCATCGTCCAGCCATGCATCCACGGATCTCTCTAACTACATGTTTGTCCATTAGTCCTTACATCCACTCATTTATCCACCCAAATAGCTGCTTGTCAGTCTTCTTACCAGACCATCAAGTCACCCATTTGTCGGTCTGCCCAATCTCCTGAGTCTCCAGTGTTTTATCCATTCGTCCATCCATCCATCCATCTGCCCAGCCAACCTTCACTCACAGACGACCCAGTGATACGCGAGGCAGAGTTGAAAAATGGGAATAAAAGACACCAGAGTGGTCCCTGCCCTCTGGGGATTATCTGATAGTAGAAAAAAAAAAAAAAAATGATGGGTGACTCTCTTTGGCCCAGACCTTCTGGACATCATGTGCAGTAGCCTATGAAGACTGGAGAATGAGATCAGGCTGAGAAAGCTTCCTGGAAGAGGCAGGCTTTGAACTGGGCCTTGAAGGGAGGTGAAATTTAAGTAGCGAAGGAAAGGAGAGCAGGCGAAAACTGTAGAGGAGGAAGCTGTTCACGGAGAAGGCAGTGAGGTGCAGCTGTGTGCCTGGGTGGGGCAGGGCCCCGAGGGCTGCCAGGCTGGGAGGGGAGCTCACTGATGGGAGAGGCAGAGCCGCGCTCTTGGGAGCCTCACTGGGCTGCAAGTGGAGGCACGGGTCTGCCTTCAGGTACCATACCTGGAGGGAGGCGTAATCTTACGGTCAGGAGCCCAGGTCTGAGAGGGGAGACACTGCCTTCTCTTAACAGATCAGCGTGTGGGGTGCGGAGGGGACGTGGCCTTTAGGGGACCTTAAAGGAGCCTCAGGGAACCCTTTAGTGGGGTCAAGAGACCCCTCCCCGGTCGCCTCCTGGCCTCTTCCAGGCTCTGTCTTCCCTGGCCTTGTTTTGGAGGTTCCTTTGGGCTCAGGGACCCGCCCTCTAAGCCCTGCCCCCACCCCCTCTATTCCAGGGGTGCCTTGCGGGACCTTCACTTTCCAGTGTGAGGACCGCAGTTGTGTGAAGAAGCCCAACCCACAGTGCGACGGGAACCCCGACTGCAAGGACGGCTCGGACGAGCAGCACTGTGGTGAGCCCTGGGGGCTCCGACAGGCTGGGCTGGGCGGCGTGCCCCTCCACCTGCTGGGCCGTCCAGCGTGGGAGCGAGGGAGGTACCCCCCTGCAGAGCTGGAGGGAGAGCTCATCAGTCCGTCCATCTGTCTCTTTCTACCCCGCCTCTGCCCCCTGGTGTGGGTCCTGCCCACCTCTCCCTCCCTCGCCCCTTCGTTCTCTTTCCCTGTCCCCTTCGTGTCGCTCCTCTGCTCGCCCTTCCTCCCTCCCCCTTCTCTTTTTCTCTGTGCCTGTTTCTCTGCGGCCGCTCGCCCTCTGTCCATCCCTGCCCCTCCTCCACCCCTAGACTGTGGCCTCCAGGGCCCCTCGGGCCGCATCGTGGGCGGGGTCGAGTCCTCGGAGGGTGAGTGGCCCTGGCAGGCCAGCCTCCAGGTTCGGGGCCGACACATCTGCGGGGGGGCCCTCATCACTGACCGCTGGGTCATCACCGCTGCCCACTGCTTCCAGGAGGACAGGTGAGGGGGACGGCACGGGGACGTGGGCCGCGAAAGGTGGGGTAGGGAAGGCTGTGACGGGGTACGGTGTGTCTGAAACCTAAGCAGACAGAGGGGAGGGCGGTGGGAAGCCCCTCAGACTGGCTGCTCCGCCCCTTGGGTTCAGCCCTGGCTCCACCGCGAGCACGCTCTGTGCCCCTGGTGAGGCTGCTTGACCTCTCTGTGCTCTACTTTTGGTATCTTGCTTTCAGCTGGGTCAGTGATTCATTTATTTACTCATTCATCCATTCAACGATATTCGTTGTGCTCCTACTGTGTGCCAGGGGCTGTGCTAGACACTGGGGGACAGCAGAAAACAGAACTGCCTGACCTGGTCATAGGCCATAAACCCCCTCCTCCAGGCATGCCTGTCTGTGACCTGGGGCGGGAGAGGTGGGGCAGAGAAGCCCACAAGAAGGGACATCTCACCCTGCCCTACAGACATCTTCCTCATCTCCGTGGTGGGCTGACAGCACCCACTCTCCACCCCTAGCCTGATGTCTGGTGTCCCAGACCCGGCCCCCAGCACGGCCAGTTCTGGACTCTGTCCCCACACCTTCTCCTCTGTCCTGGGTCTACAGTCCTTGCCAAAGGCCTGGAGCCACCGGGGCACCCCCTCCCCTCACACTCAGCGAGGCAGCAAGCCCTCTCAGTGGTCCGGAGAACCTTCAGCCACTGCCTGTCCACGCTGCCACCATCACCCCTGGGTCACCCCGGCAGCCCAGAGCCCAGTTCCCTTTTGCATCCTCTGCCCAGGTGCCCGGGTGCCCTTCTGGGTGCGGTCTGACTACCCAGCTTCTTTCACTTCATCCCTGGCTCCCCACTGCCCACAAGGTAGAGAAAGACCTGGATGCTGACCCGGCCTCCAGGGGTCTGCACAGCCCAGTCTCTGCCAATTCCCCCACACTCAACTCCCTCCCCCTCCTCCTGAGGACCAGCAAGTTTCAGGGCGTTCCCAGCTGCCCCATCTATAAAGTGCACAGAAAAAAGGAGAGAATGATCTGCCAGCGCCTGTCACTGTGCTAATTTTTGTTACATACAAAGTCTTATTGAATCCCCTCAGGAACATATGAGTAGATGATGCTGTTCCCATTTTGCAGATGGGGTGACTGAGGCCTAGACAGGTGCACACTCACCTCGGGAGGGATGACGCTGGAGCTGGAACCCAGGCAGGAGGGCTCCAGGGCCAACACTGAACACCACACCACCAGCCGCCTGGCCTTCCAGAGCAGGGCGGGGATGGGTTGGAGGCTGGTGTCCTGGGGGAAAGCTGGCTACCCTAGGGATCTGGGATGGGATCGGGGAGGCGGCCGCTGAGCAAGTCCCCGTCTCTGCCCTCAGCATGGCGTCCCCGGCGCTGTGGACCGTGTTCCTGGGCAAAGTGTGGCAGAGCGCTCGCTGGCCGGGTGAGGTGTCCTTCAAGGTGAGCCGTCTGCTCCTGCACCCGTACCATGAGGAGGACAGCCACGACTATGACGTGGCCCTGCTGCAGCTCGACCACCCCGTGGTGCGCTCGGCCTCCGTGCAACCCGTCTGCCTGCCCGCGCGCTCCCACTTCTTCGAGCCGGGCCTGCACTGCTGGATCACGGGCTGGGGTGCCCTGCGTGAGGGTGGTGAGCTGGACTGCGGGCAGGGGAGATGGGATGGGTCCCCCTCATGCAGCTTCTGAGCCTGGAGGTGAACTGGCAGGGGGCCCTGGGGCTCCCCTCCGGAGGCCCGCTAGTCCTGGGATTAAATTGGGCTGGATTTCATGGAAAAAAACCTTTAACTATGGCCGTGGGCCTCTCCCCTTCCCTTCCTGCCAGAAGGGCATTTAAGGAGAACCAAGGTCATGGAAGGATATCCTAGGGGATAAGTGTGGAGTGATGGGGCAGGCCAGGGACCCCACAGCCCATGGGCAAGCTCCAACCCTCTGCTCCTTGGACAGCGGGGGGTGGGGGGGTATGTGTCTGTGTTGGGGGGAGGCTCTTAATTATTAACACTTACCGCATGGAGGTTAGATTTTAGGGGAACATGATTTCATTTAATCCATCCAATAATCCTAGCTATTGGTTATCACGGACCCCATCTTAAGGATGGGGAAACGGAGGCTCAGAGACATTTAGCTGTGACTCAAAGTCACACAGCCAGAGAGGGTTGGAGCAGAGACTAGAACCCAGGACTATCTGACCCCAGAGCCCCTGCTGTTTGGATGCTGCCTCTCAGAAACATGAGTTTCTCCCCTTCCCTCCTACACTGACCGGAGCTGGCCATCCCTAAAGGCCAGCTCTCAGTTCTGTACATAACTACAGCCACGCCCTGCACCCTTCGCGGTGGTGCCTTTAAAAATGTGTACTGTGCTTTACAATCTGGAGGTGGGCAGGACTGAGGGATAATTTAAAGACGGAGAAACTGAGGCTCAGGTGAAAAGTGACATGTCCAAGAGGATGATAGAGAATAGTGTAAAACAAGGATTGGTCCACTTCCTCATTCATTCATTCAATGACACATTTATGAGCACCTGCTATATGCCAGGCATCGAGTTGGACAAAGGGAATATAAAGATAAACAGGAAACATGCTTTGGGGAGCTGACACGGATGGGGAGGTACGGGGGGCAGTGGCAGCCCGGAGGAAGGGTGGGCTGAGCTCAGGCTTGGAGGACAGGTCAGCAGTGTCCCAGCGAAGGGGAAAGGCATTTCTGATAAGAGCACAGGTGGCAACCCAGGGAGCCCTGAGGACACCCAGCACCAGAGGGGAGCCGGTGGATCTGGGTGCGGATCCGGAGCCAGGAGTCCTCCTCCTGACCTGCTCGAAGCATCAGGGCTTTGAGAAAAAGCACAGATGTCTGGGCCCAGCCCAGCCGAACAGACCGGATCTCCGGGTGGAACTAGGCACAGTGTTGATTGAAGCTCCTCGGGAGAAGTGCTGGCTGGACAGTGGGGAGACGCTGAGGAGTTTTAGGGGGGAGTGAAGGGGTGAGATGTGTGTTCTGGAAAAATCTCCCAGGGCTGTCAGAGAGCGGAGGGGAGGCAGCCAAGAAGCCTCAAGCAGGAGGGGTGGCGGCGGGAGGACCTAAGGAGGACCCTAGTCCAGATAGGCCCTGGGCAGGGTCGGGGTGGGGTCTGTCACCATGAGCTTCTCGGAGAAGGAGCCAGACAGAGTGATGGAGACGTGGAGGGCGGGGATGGGAGGGGGGGCAGAGCAGGAGTGAGGAAGGGGGCTCCTGAGATGCAAGAGGAGGAGCCACGGGAAGAGTGGGGGCCCCTGGCATCTCAGATCTTCTCACCTCTGCCCCCGACACCGCCGGGCAGGCCCCACCAGCAACGGTCTGCAGAAGGTGGACGTGCAGCTGATCCCGCAGGACTTGTGCAGCGAGGCCTACCGCTACCAGGTGACCCCCCGCATGCTGTGCGCCGGCTACCGCAGGGGCAAGAAGGATGCCTGCCAGGTGACTCCTGCGGGGTGGGCCAGATCGGGGAGAGAGGGCGCTGCTCACGTCACCCGGGGCCTGCTGCAGCCTCACGGCAAGGTGGGCTTGGCTGTCCCCACTTTATGGATGAGGAAACTGAGGCTCGGGAGGTTGCGAGACTTGCTCCAGGTTGCAGGCCCCAGATCAGAAGAGACCCCAGGGGGGCAGGGCTGAGGCCCAAGCCCAGCTCTGCTCCTTGCCCTCCGCGAGGCGCTTTGCCCAAGTGAGGCAGCAGAGAGGACTAGAGCCCACAGAAGGCAGGCGGGGCTGGGCAGGGCGCGGGGACACACATCCACGCTTCCGCGAAAGCCAGGCCCTGCTGGAGGCCAGGCTGGGCTGGTTTGGGCCGCCTCCATCTATCAGAGGCTTCCAAAGGGGACGTGTCACTCAGAACACCCCCAGCAGTCGGGACCCTTGCCTGGAAGGGGATGTCTCTACCCTGACGTGGCCCTGTCTCTTCCCCTCTTACAGGGTGACTCGGGCGGCCCGCTGGTGTGCAAGGAGCCCAGTGGCCGCTGGTTCCTGGCAGGGCTGGTTAGCTGGGGTCTGGGCTGTGGCCGGCCCAACTACTTCGGCGTCTACACCCGCATCACAGGTGTGATTGGCTGGATCCAGCAGGTGCTGACTTGAGAAGCTGCCCCCGCAGCGCAAGGGCCCCCACCTACTGGACTGAGAGAGCCCCGGGCGCCCACCAGGCAGGGGAGCAAGTATTCTGCCGGTGGCAGGGCCCCGTGGGGACGGGAGGTGGTGTCTCTCCTCTCCCGCAACCTGTTGCCTGACATCTGCCCCAGTGAGGACACAAGGAGGGAGAGGGGCCATCAGCTGGTGGTCAAGACTTCCCCTGAGGGCCTGGGATGGTCATCAGGCCCGGCTGGGGGGGTTCACATCCAGTCTGTCCCCTCCTGATTCTCTCTCCTCCTTCCCCTTCCTCTGCTGCTGACTTTGGTGGGCAAGGGTCGAGCAGCAGTCATGTGGCTGCCGGGCCCCCCGCCTGCCCCCGCCCCAGTGCAGAGGCTGCTGGGCCAGCATCCTCTCCAGACAGCAGATTCCAGCCTTTGAAGCCCTTGGCCTAACTTGAGGGGTGGGGGAGGAAGGTGCCCCCGCAGGAAGGGCCCTCAGAACCCTGGAGACAGCCAAGTGGGCCAGCCGCCACTGCAGGCCAAAGGGTGGGGAGCCCCAGGTCCAGGGTCCTCCCACGCCTACCTGTTCCTCGGGCCTTCACTGCCCACTCTCACCTGGAGGTGAGCTCAGCTGCCCTGTGGAATAAAGCTGTGTGACCCGAGGTCCTGTTCTGGGGATTGAATGGGGCCCCGGGCACCAATCTCATGCCTTTAACTGAGCAGCCCCTGTTATCTGCTCAGCCTGTTGGCTAAGCGTCCAGAAGACCAAGGGGTGGGGGCGGTCAGTGGGGGCAGCGGCGGCCTCCAGGGCAGCTGCCTAGGTCCTGGGAGCAACCCCAGGAAGGCAATGCTTTGGTGCCCCTCAGGTCAGAGTGAGGGCTGGGACAAGTGATGCACTCCTTCTGGAAGCCTGGAAGGAAGCTGAGGGGCAGAGAGTGTCATGATCGCACCAGGGAGGGGTCAGGAGTGGAGCCTGGAGCGGAAGCCCCATCTCCTGATTCCCAGGCTACCGCTTCCCCTCTGGCACGGCACTGCCTCTGCATTCTGAGTCATTTATTCAGCGAGCAGCTCCAGGCTCCTACCACGTGCCGAGGGCCGCAGTGGGGTCACAGAGCTGCACAGAACTTGGCTCCTCATCTCGGGAGGGGTGGGGATGCTGATCCAGGGTGAAGGGGCTTTGGGGTAGACTGCAACTCGGGAAGGCTGCCTGGAGGAGACTTGGGGTTCAAAGGTGGCCAAGGTGGGGAAGAGCATTCCAGGCAGGGGAACAGCATGTGCAAAGGCAGCAGTCCCCAAAGTCAGTGGCCTGTTAGGGAACAGTAAGTTGTTTTTAGTTGGAACAGAGGTTGGCAGGGGTGGTGGTAGGGTGGGCGGTAGGGCTAAAAAGGAATGCATGGGGAGGGGCAAACTGAGATTAGATGGCAAAGCACTTGGAGTGGAGCTATGAATTGACCCTGGGCGCTCTGGGAAGCCGTGGAAGGCTCTAGAGCAGGGAAGTGACTGACACAGGATGGATTCCCATTTTAGAACAACCACCGGCACCAGCCTGGAGGAAGTGGGAGGCAGGGAGGCTGGTAAGGAGGCCACTGTGGAATTCCAGGGAGAAGAGGATGGGTCCTGGATGGAGCAGGGCAAGGAGGATGGACATAGGGTTGAAGGACCCTTACTGTCCTCCAGGTGCCTCAGTGGATGGGGTGACATGAGGGAGGAGTCACCCAGGACCACTCCCACCCAGGGCACCTGGGGAGGGAAAAGCTCTGGGAAGGTGTCATGAACCTGGGATGCTTCTGGGAGGGAGATGTCCAGGAGGCAGGCGGAGCTTGAGAGAGGTTTGGAGGAGGGATTTTAGAGCTGCCCTGCAAGGATGGTGGTCCAGGGAAGACGGAGGAGGTGGGGGAGACACAGACTGCAGACGTGCGGGTCCGGAGTAGGAGGCTGAGGGGAACTGAGGGGGGTGGGGGGGACACAGACTGCAGACGTGCGGGTCCGGAGTAGGAGGCTGAGGGGAACTGAGGGGGGTGGGGTCTTAGCAGCCAGGGCTGTGGCCTGAGTGGGAGTGGTCAGGGAGGCCTACAGGGCCGGGCCCTGGTGGAGGGGAGGAAGGTGGGTGTCAAGGGCGGACAAGTCTTTCTTGGAGCCTAGCTGGGAGGAGAAGGAAGCGGGGAGCCTTGGAGGGGGCCTAGTGTCGAGAGGGTTTTCAAAGGTAGACAGGGAACGGCCATGGCATCCATGTGTGGAGAGCCCTCCACCCGCTGGGTCCTGCCTGTGGAGATGATAGAGCAGCCGCTATGGGGGGACACCTTTGGGGTGGGGGCAGGACTACCCCGGGTGGCCCTCAGGGATCTCAGAGGGGGAGAACACTGCTGGAGGGTGCTTTGCTAAAGTGCAAATTCATGGCCATAGTAGGAATTAGCGGGTAGGGGGTAATCTGTCCTTTTAACAAGGCTCCTGGTAACTCTTTTGCAAGCAAAGCTGGACACAAAAAGCGAGGTCAACTTCAGAGAGCCGCGTGGCCCCAGGGCGAGTGGTGAGGTCCCCCCGGGAGGCTTCGGTCAAGGGGAGCACTGCTTTGCAGAGATGTCCCCTGGCAGCGCTCAACTGCTGGGGGGCGGGGCTGGGGAGCCAGGAAGACACTCAGTAGGACCTGGGAGGTGAAGGAACTGGCCAGGTGGGGTGGGGGTCCCGTCAGACTCTGAGAGAAGATGGAGGGGAGACTGGGGGTTGTATTTCCTAGGACTTGGGGCAGAGGGTGGAGGTGACCAGAAGCTATCACAGCAGGAAGCAGAGGGGACGTCCTGCTAGGTTAGGAAGGAGCTGAGGTGGTAGGGTGAAGCCAGAAAGGAGAGCACCTTACCTGAATGGCGAGGTGAGACTGGGAATTGGGACGTAGGGAGCCAGGCTTGGGAGGACCTGGTATTCTGATTCCCAGAGGCCCAATTCCCTAGCCCTCAGCACCCCAGCTAACCTAGGTCTGCCTGGAGGCTGGAAGAGACCTGCGTGACTCCAGGGGGCGGGGCCTTAGAAGTCACCTGGTCCACCCCGTCACTTTACTGTTGAGGAAACTGAGGCCCAGAGAGGGGAAGGTACTTTCCAAAGTTCACCCAGCCAGGCAGAGCTGGTACCCTCGGTGTCCGGCCACGGGACAGAGGATGCAACCGTGATGTGCACCCCCCCAGCACACACGGGAGAGTGACAACAGGGCGGGGTCCCTGGGCTTTATGAAAAAGCCCCATTACCTTTGGGCTGTCTACACCACCTGTCCCCAAACGTGGCCCAGAGAAAGAGAGGGAGACAGCCGGGCTGGCTGTTTCTTCAGGTTTTATTACACGGTGGTGTTGGACACCGCTGGGAAGCAAGTATCCAGCTGGGGAGGCCGTAAATGCAGGAGGGGCCCCTTGCTCAGCGCCTGCCACCCCAGACTCTCCCTTTCCCTTGTCACCAGCTCCTGAGTGGCCCCGCTGCCCCTGCTGAACCAATGCCTCCCTTCCTCCTGGCCAGGGCACTGTGCGGCCGGCAGTACAGACAGCAGGGGCGCGGGGAGCAGGCAAGGTGAAGGCCGAGTCACCCACCCCCTCCTTCAACAGCGCTAACGCCACGCCCTTCATCGCCCACCAATCCCTCAATCTCCATCCTGGGCCGGGCAGGTCCGAGTCTGCGCCTTGTGCCCCCCCCCCGAGGGCTTTCGGGGACCTTTGCTCCTCTCGTTAAAATCACAGCAAACCTGAGGTAGGTAGGGCAGGACGTGAACCCACGTGACAGACAGGGAGACCAAAGGAGGTGATGGGACTGGGCTGCGGGGGGAGCGCATCTGCCATGCAGCGGAGGGACCTGAGGGAGGGGACGTAGGGGCCTGGGAGACACAGCTGGACAGTGCCACACTTTGACCACCCGCAGGCGGCTCCGCCCAGGGGTCCCAGGGCCCACATCAGGCCTTGCGAGGTCCCAGTGGGCCCCCACCCGGCCCCCGGAGGCAGGGGTGAATCATAGCCCCGCAGGTGTAGACAGAGGTGACAGCGGGGAGAGCTCTTCCTCCGCCTCGGGCTGGGGGCCCACCCCGTGGTACAAAAATAAAGGATTTCAGAACGGAACCCCAAGTCCCTGGAGGCGATCCAGGGCCTCACATCCGGGTGCCTCTGGCTTGTAACAGCTAGAAAATAAGAGGGGGCAGGGAGACGGGGTGGGGAGTGGTCAAAACACCGGGAGGAGGATGAGAGGGTGAGGCCGGTGAGGAAGGGGTAGTGCAGGGCCAGGAGCAGGGTGGAGAGGAGATTGGAATGGAGGGAGGGAGGGGTGGGGAGAGAGGGAGAGAGAAAGAGTCAGGTGAGTCACGAGGTCCTTTCTGGGAGGAAGGAGGGGGGCTGAGGCCCAGAAAAAGTGTATTCAGAGCTGAGCAGGAGGGGAAGCGGGGAGAGGACCCAGCTCGCCCATTCGGGGGCCCCATGCCCCACCTTGGGCCGGGGGTTGGCTGCCTAGGAGGCCACATCCTGCCAAGGCTCTGGCCAGGGGGTCGAGGCCCAGAGGCTGGTCACCACTGTCTCAGGCAGAAGGTCACAGAGAGCAGCTGTCCGTCCCCATGTTTGAGGCAACTGTGGCCCAGAGAGGGACAGTGACTTGCCCAAGGTCAGAGAGCAGGCAGATAAGACTGAGTGGGGGCTTGTGGGCACCTGGCCAGGGCTATTTCTGCCACAGCCCAATCCTCAGCCAGCTCCGGCTGCCTCCTCCTAGGCCGAGGGAATCCAAGTGTGGCCTGTCCTTCCCACCCCCGCAGCAACAGGGAACCCAGTGCCTCGAGGCTGTGATGCAGGGATGAGGTCAGGGCACCTGGCTTCCGTTTCCCTTCCCTCCTTCCCAGTGTGGCTCTGATGCTGCTGGGCAGGTGGGAAAGAATTTCCTCCCCCTTTTGTCTCATCTCAGAGCCTCATCCCCAAGGCCAAGATAGGCTGAGAGACTTGGGGGAGGGGAGAAAATCAGCCGGAAGTTCGGCTCAAGTCCAAAAATACAAGAGATGAGCACCCTCCTGGCTTCCGCCCCTGCCTCCAGCTCTGCCAAGCTACAAACCAGGCGTGGCAGCTCTGGGGGCGGGCGAGGGGCCCAGGAGAAGCCCTCACCGCAAGCGCAGCCTCAGGTCTGAGGGGGCGCAGACGGGAACCTGCAAGGAGGAAACGTGAGGAGGTGAGGCGCTGCAGCAGGGTGGCCCGGCCTCAGATGTGCCCGGCGGGGTCGGCGGGCACCAAGGAGGTGCAGCTGTGCCCCTCTGCCCCGGGCCCGGAGGCGGGAGGTGGCAGAAGGGGTGCGGGAGGCGGCAGGCGGGATGCTCTGGGATGCGGTGCCAGGGCACCTGGGTGGAGGGCACAGGAGGCTGGGACCACAGCAGCCCCGGGATGGAGGTGTGAGCAGGCAGAGAGAAAACCCGGACAGGGGCAGAGAGGGAAGAGGCAGGGTGCAGATGAGATCCAGGAGGAAGAAGAGGTGGATGAAGATGAGGCAGGACCTCCGGCGGGAAGCGGAGGAGGAGGAGGCGGTGGTGAGAGGGAGGAAAGGTTAGCGGGATCCTGAGATGACTGGGCTGCAAAGAGAAAGTGAGAGAAGGGATGGTTATGCAGGTGAGGCGCCAGGCACGCGGCTGAGCTAACCCTGGAGGGCCCGCCCCCCGGCCGTCCCAGGACCCCAGGCTCCGCAGCGGGCTCCGGCAGGGAGCCGGCGGGAGGCACGGCCTTTATTAGCGATCGTTCTCCTCGGGGGTTGGCTGCACCTTTCTGCTGCGTATCTGCCTCCACCTCCACCTGCACCTGTGCCACCTCCACCTCCTGCCGCTGCCGCTCCTCCAGCTGCTCCTCCGCGCGCTGTGGACCAGCCGGCAGACCCAGGGAAGAAAGAGCGCAGAGCTAACGAGGGGGCCGGGCCCGCTGGCGGCTGTCCCCGCAGGCCCCCATCTCAGCGTGAAGGGGACGGGCGGGGGGCACCTCCCGGGGAGGGGAGTGCTACAGCCACAGAAGCCGGGGCATCTTGTCGGATCCCCGGGATAGCCTGCGAGGGGCCTGGGGGAACCAGCAGAGGGTGGGGTCCTGCTGAGGATGCTCACGGGTGGGCCTGGCTGCTGGGACGTGGAGCAAGGCTGGGGGAGGGGTGTCAGAGGAAGGGGGTGGGTGTGTGGCCAGGGCAGCCTTGAGGGCTGCCTGGGAAGGCCTCGTTTTAGGAGGACCGACCCAGAGCAGAACTGAGGCCAGGGGAGGCCCAGGCAGATCCGAGATGTCGGCACCAGGCTCTCGCACCCCAGGTCCTGAGGTCTCTCCCAGAGACGCAGGAGCCGCCAGCTCACCTTGCACCCTTGCAAGGCCACGCCGGCCGCTGGCCCCCATGGGGCTGGGGTGGGCAGGGGAAGTCACAGCCCAGGGAGGCAGACGGCCAGACGGGAAGCGGAGTTCCTAAGTCTCCGGCACATAGGGACAGGCTCCTAGAAGGAACGGTCTCCCTTCTTCCCAGCCTGCCTAGCTGCCTGCCCCACTGGTCCTACCAAAGGCCCCTCAGGCTTCCGACCAGCTCTGCGTCCAGGGTGGCAGGACCTCCGATGAGCCCCCTCCCCCCCAGCCAGCTGATGCTGCCTCACAGGCCAGGGTGGAAACACAGGGCCGGACCCCAAGGGCTCCAGACCCCTCTGACGCTGAGTCCTAGGAGGGAGCCTGCGGGAGGGGCAGGATTAACGGTTCGGCTTCCCTGCCCCAGCCCAGGCCCCGGGGAAATAAATGGGCCCTTTGGATCCCAGAAGTTGCAAGCTGGGGGTCCACCCCTCTCACTCCTCTGAGAACACAACCAAGGTGCCCAGAGGGGGCGGGACTTGTCCAAGGTCACGCAGAGCGCTCACACCACGCCCAGACCCCTAGTCCAGTGCACTCCCCCTTGTGCTACGCTGCCCCGTGGCCACCATGCGACCACCATCCAAGTGGCATCTAAGTCCACCCTCGCCGTGCCCTGGGGATAATCTCATCTCGTCGTCCCCCAAGTCTGGGCCTGGGTAACTGGCGTGAGCAGGCAGGACGGTGGGTGGCATGGGATGGATGGCATCGGCTGTGAGCAGGGGGTCAGGCGTGTGCAGCGGGAGGGAAAAAGAAGCTCGGATGGCTACGTGGAGGGCGGCGAGGGGAGGGAGGAAAGGCAGGGAGGCCGAGGTTGGGGCAGGGCAGGGGCTGGGGCAGAGGGCTCACCTTGGTTTTGCGGCTGGACTCGGAGCTCAGTCCGTGCGGGGAGCTATAGAGCTCCTTGGACACCACGCACAGGAACTCTGCCTGGTCCTCGCTGCCGTAGTTGTAGGAGGAGCCGATGCTCACGAGCTGGAGGGGCGGAGCATGGGGAGAAAACGACAGGATGGGGTTGAGGGGACGGGGTGGGCGGACACCAGCACTTGTCAACTGTGCCCTGACCTTGCTGTCCCATTCAGGCCCATCCCTGGGTTTCCGGAGGACGCCTCTGGCGCAAAGTCAGAGTCCTCTCCCCCTCCGCCCCTGCCTAGGGCTCTGGGCTATTCCAGGCCAGGCCCCCCGACGTGGCTTGGCTGGACCTGGTCCTTAGAGGAGGAGGGTTAGCACCGCTGTTCCTCTCCCATATCTAGCAGGCAACGTCCTAAAAGCAGGCAGAGGCCTGTAACGGGCAGGCTGTCTCCCTCTGTCCCAGATGTGGCTGAGGCAGCCCCAGAACCAGGCTGCAGGATGGGGTTGGCATGACCTGGTGGAGCTCCATAGAATATTCTGTTCACTGTTGGAAGCAGAGGTAGAACAGGTCGCCCGTTCCTTACGCCAGCGGTCCCTGATATGCCCGCTCAGCCTTTGAGAGCCCATGCAGTTGCCAACGACTCCCTTAGGCTTTCAAGAGTGGCCCCGCCTTTGTTCTGGGGTCCCTAAAATAACCACACCTGCAGGGCCCCTTCCGACTGATAAAGGTCCTGCACATGGTGGGTCTCGTTCGGCCCCCAGGAACCCTCATTCTGCAGACAGAGAGGAAAAATCAGCCCCTTCGGCAGACGAGGTTTGGAGAGGTGGTGAAGTCCCACAGCCAGGAAGAATCTGAATGTGAATGGGTTCAAATTCACGATTTGAATCTGGGACCCCGAGTCCTCTCAGGGGTCCTATAGACTTAAATGCTTCTATTAATTCACAGGATGCTAGCTGGCTCCAATGTTTAGAGGACTACTCTGGGCTAGGGACTTTATCCATGGTCTTTCTAATCTACACAACATTCCTGCAAAGGAAGCACTACTGGTCCATGTCACAGATTAGGAAACTGAGGCCCAGAGAGATACGCCTTGCTCAAGTTCACACAGCATGTCAGTGGCGAGGTCTAGATATGAATCCAGGCTTCCGGCTCCTGGACTGGACTAGTTCCTCCATCCTGCCCGGCCATCCTGGAAAGCCTGGCCTTCTTCAACCTCCAGGTGCAAGGGACCTTGTAAGGATAAAGGGTAACCCAACCCTTCCCCTTCTCTAAGGGCAAATTTGACCTTGGGTTAACTTGTTGGCTCTGATCCTCTGGAAACCTCAGAGAGGTGTGATGTCAGCTGCATTACTAGGGCAACACCGTTTATGATAAAAATCTCTCCTGCTGGTAAACTGCATAGGTACTGGGAGGAAGTACAGGTCACCATAAATACCTCATGGGAAGCCGTTGCTCTGGGCTGCCCTGAATGTGGCAATGCTTGGAACTGGGCATGTCCCTTGCGGGGACCTGGAATCTATGCCTGTGGAATTGTTACACAAGGTGTGGCCTCAAGGGGACCTCCGCTCTCCTATGTGGATCTTGTCTTCTCGCACCAGAGCTGTCGCTTGGGGGCCAGAGACTCACACACTACAGTGTAGACCACTACCTGGTTGCTGGGAGGACTCCCATTAAAGATGATTCCCAGGAGCTGCCCTGTGGCCACCGGGGCTTCCCTCCCCTCTCCTTCCTGGTCAGTCTGCTGCCAAGTGTGGCCTTTCTGAATCTTGTTTAGTCTGTCTTAAGACCCCGGGTGGGGGCTGCAGTGGGCACCCCAAGGCTGGGGCTGTGGGAAGGGAGGGGCCTGCTTTGCCTGGGGGTGTGGCCCAGCCCACCTGCTCGAAGCGCCAGCCATCGGACATGGTGGAGACCATCTGCGTGAGCTCCTCCTCCTGGCACTGCAGCACGCGGTACACGTGCTTGGGTGGGACCTGCAGGCAGAGGGGGGACGTGGAGGGCACCTGTGGGAGTGCCAGGCACCCCGGGGGCGGGAAGAGCACCTGTCCTCCCCCCACCGTCTACCCCCAAGAAGGACAGAAGTGGGGGAGGGGAGATGGGAGCCATGTTCTGAGTACCTACTATGTGCCAGGCACTCGACGTGCATGTTCTCACTTAATCCCTCCAAAAACCCTAGGAGTTATGGGATGTTCATGGAAGTTCAGAGAGGGTCAGTTACTTGCCCAAGGTCACCCAGCTAAAGAGTACCAGAGCCAGAATTGGAACACAGGTGATGCAAGTGGGAAAGGAGGAGGGGCTTATGGGACATCCTGGGGCACTAATTGAGGCAGGTCCTCCAGGGGACGCGGGGCACCCTGTCTTCAATCTCCTGGGGCTGGGAGACGGTGCCTCACTACCCATTTCCCACCCTCCACGTCTCCCCCAAGGTGGGCAGAGAATCTCTCCAGCTCCTCCTACAGCCTGGCCACTTAGGCCTAGGGTCCAAGCTCAGAAACTCCAGCTCCAGAAGCTTGTGCCGTGACCTCCAGGGGACCATCTGAGCCCATGAAGTGGACGATGTAATAATCCCACATTGCCTCCCACAGGGCCCCCTGTACCTCCACAGTGACCCCATTTTGCCTGGGAGGAAGGGAAGGGTGGGCAGTTCTCAGCACCTCTATATTCCACAAGAGGAAATCAAGGTCAAGAGAGGGGTGTGATTGGCTCAAGGTCACACAGCAAACAGAGCCGAGGCAGGGAAAGAACCCCGAGTCCGTCTCCCAGTCTGGGGCTTTGCTGAACAGTCTGGGAGCTGGACAACCACTCCTCCCCTTATAGGAGAGCTTGGCCTCCCCCAGGAAAACTGGCTCTGCCTCTCCCAACCTTCCTCCTGACCCCCCTCCCCCATCCCCGCCACCCCCTGCCCTGGCCAGGGATGCCGCCCCGCTGCCCTGCAGCCCCCCGACCTGTGTGACGGTATAATCCTTCTCCTCCATCCGGTCTTTGATGATCCGGATCAGCGGGCCGATGTTGTAGAACTCCGCTTCCTCCAGGACCCCTGGCACAGACAGAGCAGCACCCCACCCCCGTCACTCCCACTGCCCCCGTGCCCCGTTCTCACCTTGTCCCCTCCCCCTCCACCCCCTGCTCCAGTCACACAAGGGTGATGAGCCTCTGAGTTGGGGTCAGGCAAGAGGGAACACTTCCTTCCTTGGGTCCCACACTCCCTGTAGTAGGGGTGAGAGGCTGCCATTCAGGGGCACTATATCCCTGCTGTGCTGAGCACAGGACCCAGGGGTGGCTGCCAGCCCGCTAGTCTGGGGCTGTCCAGAGGCAGTGGGCCCGCTGGGACTGGACCCTATGCCACAGCGAGAAGGGGCTTGGGTGGCTCCCGATTACATGTTCCCATTTATGAAGCACACGCTAAGTGCCAGGCACCGTGCCAGGCATGTCACACACTTCACTGCAGTTAATTCTCTGCACAAGAAGTAGGTACTTTCATCACCCCCACTGAACAAACAGGGAAACTGAGGACCAGGCAAAGCAGCAGCTGTGCAGGGCCACACGCCTGGCACTCGGCAGAGCTGGGATTCACACTCCAGTTCCTCTGCCTCCTAAACGCATAACCTTTGTGCACGTGCATCTCGCCAATCCCTACACTTCACAGTTTGCAAAGCCCCTCCCATGCTCACCACAAGCCCCAGGGTCATGGAGGAAGCAGGCGTTATTGTCCCCATACAGTTAAGGAGACTGAGAGTCTTAGAGACTGAGCAAGTGCCCTTTCCAGTGAAGGGGACAACCCTCGGCCTTAGGACTCCCCTAAGCTCCTGCGGGGCAGAGACACTTCCTGTCCTTTCCATGACTGGACTCTGGGCTCCCCGGGGACAGGGCCCATGTCTGATGTCCCCGGCGCCCACACCCACCTAATACAGAGGACACAGTGAGCGAGTGCTACTGCCAGGATGCCCCCCGTGGAGCCCTGCAGATGACAGACAACGAACTCTGCATCACGGGTCCTCAGTGCCAGGCACTGTGCTAAGTGACGCACTTGCATTAGCTCCTTTTATCCTCACAGCAGCTCAGCAAGGTGGGTGCTATTGTCACCCCATTCCGCAGATGCAGGCATGGAGGCACAGAGGGATAAGTGACTTTCCAGGTGTCACACAACTAGTCAGTTTCCCCCTGGATCCCCTGGCCCCTTGGATCGGGGCTCTAGCCCTGTCTAAAGGTGCTGGGAGTGCCAGGGCTTGACAAACCCAGAACCTGTAAACAGGTGTTGGCCGTGACGCTGGAGTGTTTACCTGCCCTCCCCATGGGACCCACTCCTGGGCCCAGGCCACGCCCATGGTACCTGCTGCCCCAGGGGCTGCCGGGAAAGCTGTGGGGCTCCGCAGAGCCGATGCCTACAGCGGGCTCTGATTTTGAAGCTGTGGCCTTCTGGGGAGCCACCTGGCTTCTAGATCACTGTGTCCCACAGGGGTCAGGAGGGAAGACCGTGGGCCCGAGTGAGGAGGGAGGGGCTGTGCTAGACACCTCCAGGGTACAAGCCCCGGGACTCATGACATCTGGTTTTCCCAGAACATGTCCCTAATGTAGATCACCGCCCCTCCTTCATATACACAAGTGGAGACTCAGAAAGGAGAAGTGACATGTCCAAGCTGGCCTGGCTGGGTCAGGTGACCCAGAGCCACACCCTGCGCCCTACGGAAAAGGGCTTGGCACCCCTTGCTCCTGGCAGGGGCTCTGCCAACAAGCCTTTCTCCCAGGCAGGCATCCGGTCTTTCTCCCCACTGTCTGTTGGGCCCAGAAGTGGGCATCTACGGGGCCTCAGCCAGCCAGGCCTGGGAGGGACCAAAGCCCTGCTGGAGAGCAGGCTCCGCCCACCCCTGCTTCACCCACCACTGTGCTGCAGGGGCTGCCAGATCTGGGCAAGGAGTCACCCACTCGACACACCTGCGGACCCACGTGAGCCCTCACCACGCATCTGAGATACCCCATCACCCAGACAAAGAGAGCCACACCTCTCCCCATGGCCATCTCCACCCACAACTGGCTTCCCAGAAGGCCAGGGGAAAGGGCATCCCTGCCCAGCCTCACTGGCTCCCTCTATCCTCTGCTTCCGTGTTTCTGTCACCTCCCCAGCAGCACCCAGTGGAAGCTTGGGCCAGTCACCTTGGCACAGTCCCTAGGCTCAGCCTGGACACAGGCTTTGGGAGTCAGTCCTGTCAGGAATGAGAAGAAGCAGGAAACATGGAAGAAAGCAGATGTCCCCTGAGGACAGCCGAAATGGCTCTGCGCCTCCACAGGAGGCCCCGGCAGACTGCAGAGGGCAGGGCTAGGGTATGGGCCCCGGCCTCCCCGGGACCAACTCACCCTCCTCAGCCATGTCCTTGTCCAGCACCAGCTTGCCATGCCGGAGGAAGTTGAGGATGGGCCCGAAGTACGTGGGGTCACGGTCGATGAGGTAGGCCCCGGTCTCATCCTACAAAGGTGAGGGGCACAGGCAGTGAGAGAAGAGTGAGCCCCGCTCCCCTGCCTGACCTCTCACTTCAGTCCCAGTGAAGGATCAGAGGGAGGGCGGGAGGGGGCGGAGTGTCTGCTCTTCCCCAGAACAGAGTGTCCTGATGGAGTAAAAAGGCTTTGGGGTCAGATGCACCTAGGTTCAAATCCTGCCCCGGCCTTTTCCTGACTGTGTGACCTTGGGCCAGTGATGTGGCCTCTCGGAGCCACCCTCTTCTTTGCCATAACTGGAGAGCATGTGAGCATCCCGTGAGGTCTGAGTGGCACCTGACCCAGCGCAGGGCTCAGGGATTGTCCCTCTTGGAGGTTATTCCCTGAAGCCAGCCCTACACTGTCTCCACCAGATCCCCTGGCATTCTGGGGATGTTTACAAGTTTCCAAAAGAGCCACTGTCTCATTGGATACCCTCAGCCTGCAGGGAGGCAGAGCAGGCATCAATACAACTCTACAGAGAGGAAACGGAGACATCACCAGGTGAGGGGACTTGCCCAAGGTCACAGCATCAGAGGGTCAGGAAACAGGAGAGAGGGGGCCTTAGAGGTCATCGCCAGGCCAGCCCTCTGGGGTTACAGACAGAAGGCTGAGCAGGATAGGGTTTGACCCAAGGTCATGCAGGAGGTTTGCAGCAGAGTCGAGATGGGAACCCAGAAATGGTGCCCCAGGCCAGCGCTCCTACCTGATGAAGCCCAGCTGAGAAGGCACCCCGGGATTTCTCCACCCAGCTCCCTGTACTCCAAGGCTACCCATACCCCAAAGGGCGGGGAGGCGGGGAAAAGCAGACTCAGTAACTCCTTCCGTGGTGCAGGAGTCCAGTTTGGGCAGAAGAGAATGCCCTAGGTGTCTGTCTCTTCCCACCGCCCCAAAGGAGGGGGAGAGTCCCCATCCATCAGCCTCCTGGGTTGGGAGCCCAGATCAGCGCTCAAAAACTCCAAATGGGCGCAGCCCGGCGTTGTCCTGTTGCCACGGCAATGGGCACATCCCTCACTCTCCAATTCATTTCCTTCTCCCCTCCTCCGGCCAGTTCTTCCCGCCTCCAGCTCTTCGGAAATAAACCCAGCCGGGTTTCCAGCCCCGCGGGCGGGCCAGACTGGACAACCAGATTCCGGCGACCTAAGGATCCCCGACCGCCGCCCACCCCGCGGGCCTCACCCGGTCAGACTGCAGCTCTTCCCCCTGGCACAGGCGGCTGAGGAAGGACTTCTGCTCGCGGCACAGCGTTTGCCGGGTGGTCAGGAACACAGTGCCCCCCACGTTGAGCCTCACCCACTTGCTCCAGCCGCCCGCCCCCGCCGGCGGCGCTGCCTCGCGGGCCTCCATCCTCATCGCTCTTCCCAGCGTCTGCATCCTGCCTGCAAGGCGGCTGGACGCGGGCATGTACCGCGCGCCGGGCATGCCGGGAGTTGTAGTCCGCGCCGCCCCGCGGGAGTGTGTGGCCAGGGTTGAGGGTCAGCCGACGCCCTCTATCCCGCCTTCTCCAGCCCCGCCCTACTTTGCCCTTCCCGGGAGGCCTACGAACGGGAGTTCAGTAAAGTTCTTTGGCCAAGTTACTCTGTGTTTGGGAAGGTCAAGTTCGAGGTCACTGGGAAAATAGTGATACCCCAAATCAGCGGTCCTCCCATTTGATCGCCACATTGTTTTCCCTTTGTCCAGTTTGGGTTATCAAACAGCTGACAGGAAAAGGAACTTCTCCCTCCCCAAATCCCTATAGCATTTACCCGTATCTGTTTTCTAATATTCTTTCATTCTGCCTTTGGGGGTGGGGGGGTGAGGAGAGCTGGGTTCCTTCCCCACATAAATTCTTTGCGGACCCCACCGTCGGGCTTAACAGTTGGCCCAGCACCTTCTATATTCCAGATGCTTTATGCATCTATTATATTGGGTTGGCCAAACAGTTCGTTCGGGTTTTTCTGTAACATCTTACGGAAAACCCAAACGAACTGTTTGGCCAAGCCAATATTATTCATTGGTGCTCTTAGCAGCACTGTGAGGTCGCTGTTACTGTATCCACTTTACAGACGAGGACACAGAAGTGAAGTGACCTGCTGGACTCACACAGCTGGTGAGTGGCAGGCTGGCATGAACCCAGGTGGGTTCCAACTGCATTTCCACCACCAAGGCCCCTTTCCTGCTCCTTGGGAAAGATTTCTCGGGAGGAAGAGTTAGGAGCGTGCTGGATGAATGTTTGGAGAACTGGGTTTTCATCCTGGCTTTTGTAGGGTGAAGTGCTGGGAGAGGTCTCAGTTTACCCATCTGTAATTCAAGGGGGAAGAGGGATTGGTTCTGTGGGTGCCCTTCTGAGCCAGATAACTCAGGGGTGGGACTGCTATCGTGGGCCCTGCAGGATGTGGGAAGGGAGCAGCTCCTCATGTGGTTTGGGACCAGGGAGGGACAAGGGCTGAAGGGAAGCTGTCCTCCTTAACCTCCTTTCCTTCTCACTGTTTCGGTCCTGGTCCTGGATTAAGGGGGGAGGGTCTGAGGCTCCCCTCAGTGGTCTCAGTGTCACACACTGGGCAGCCTGGCCCTGCATGGCAGTGGCGGGGTGGGGAGGGGGCGGGTTCTGTTACCCCTCGGGCTCTGCTTTCTCCGTAAACCTTTACCCTCGGCAGGGAATGGGTCACAGCTGCTAGACTTCTGCTCCTGGGGACTCGTGTTCTCTTAAACACAAATCCAAGTATGATCTTGAGCAATTTCCTCCCTGGACCTCGGCTTTCTCTTTTGCAAAGCGGGAATTAGAATAGCTACTGGAGAACATTGTTGTTAAGATTAAATTATGTCGGTAGAACACCTGGCATAGCCCATGGCTTTTAGTATACTGAATAAATGAATGAGTGAATGAATGAAATGGGTTATAGGATATGAACTGACCTTGGAAGGTCAGCAGGACTCCTGGCACTTGGTGAGTCCTCAAGCACTGTCGGCTGAAACCAAACCAGAGCAGGGAATATTTCTTTTCCACTTAAGGGGTGTAGGCAGGGAGCGATGTGGTCAGATATGTAACTTGGATCACTGTGGGGGCTGCAGAGGGGATGGTTCGAAGCCCCAAGAGACCAGCCAGGAGGCCACCTGGGTGAGAAGTGGGGAAGCCCCAACCAAGGCGCTGTCAACTGGGCCAGACAGGAGTGGGCGGCTTCCGTGGATACTTGGGAAGCGGAAGTGAAGGTTGAAGGGACTGGGAAGGAGGGAGGAGGAGGAAGGAGGAGGGGCCACACGGACAGCCCTGGCTTCTGGCTTGAACCAACAGTGTTTCCCTGAAGCAGGAGAGGCAGATACGGGGAGTGATCAGCATTGAGGAGGTTGGTTTGGAGCCTGTATTTGCAGTGCCTGTGGGCCAAGCAAAAATTGTCCTTGCAGGTGTGATACGCAGGAAAGCAGCATGGACTGGAGAGGACAGGTGGGGCTGGCCCCAGCCTAGGGTGGGGAGGAACCTAGGAAGGCCCTCTCGGGGGGTGGCTCCAATGGATGAAGAGGATGGGGCAAAGTCTGGAGAGCAAGGAACAAGAGCCATACCCCAGAGACCGAGAAGGGGCAGTTTGAATGAACAAGTTCATATGAGGAGTGAAAGTTGAGAAGGCGGAAGTGTAGCATCATGGAGCCGCGGGAACCCAGGGCTTGCCTGACCCAGCCTGTTGCTGCAGATGTGACAAAGCCGGGGCCGGGAGGCATAGAAAACTTGCACGGCATTACTCAGTGGATGTGGAGCAGACCCCAGGTTTCTCGGGCCAGCCCTCGCCCCCCTGGGGCTGCCTCTCCTGGCGAGGAGCATGGACCACGCAGTACACTTGGACAGCATGGAGCTTTTAAGCTAAAGAGTCATGTCATCCGTGTGGCACTTGGGGAAGTTTAATCTGGCGTTGGTGCACAGTCGGGTTGGGGCGAGAACCTGGGTCCAGGAGGGAGAAATGGGGGTGACCTGCCCAGAGCCCCCTCCTCCTCCCTGCTCATATCCTGTTTTCTTGTGTTTCCCCCACTGCGCAGTGATCCTTCTGAGGACAGACACCATCCCTGGGCTGCTGTATCCCAGGTGTCACTGGTCCTGGCTTAGGAGGGGCGAATGGAACAAAAACTCCCCAATGCTGGGAGTGCTTTTAGGACAGGGATTGGTCTTCTTCCTTCACACTGGCTTCCGCTGTATTTTATTTCACTGCTTCAGTGCTTCCTATGTGCCAGATGCTATTCTAAGCGCATCACCCCATGTAACAGGTGTGCTCAGGGAGACAGGTGATAGCAGGAGCTACCCTGTACTCATCTAACATGCCAGAGACCGTGTCCCAGGCATTCTGTAACAGCGACAGCAGCTGTCACCGATGGAGGGTTTACTCTGGACCAGGCCAAGCCAGTGCATAATTCTCACAACAGCCCCATGCAATTGATCCTGTTCCCACCTCCATCTTATGGAAGATGAGACTGAGGCTCCAACACCATGGGCCTCCCTGAGTGATGCTGGGAACGGCTACCAAGGGCAGAGCCGGCCCGCGAGCCTGTCTCATTGCCTCTGAAGTCCAAGACAACACGGAGTCTCGATGCACCCTTGCACAGGCGTTCTTAACCTCGCCAGGTACAGATGAGGAAACTGCACTCACATGGGTGGTCCAGCGCCGACCCGCTTAGCCGAGTGCCAGGGCTCATCACCGTCGTGGGCTGAGGTCCTGAAAGTGTCGGGGAGGCTAGGCCAGCACTTTTGGTCCCAGAGTGGAGGGGAAGGCTTTTGATGATCCAGTCTTACCCACTTCCTTCCTCAGAAACCCCCAGCTATCCCTAGACACCAGCATCCCCTCAGTAAGCATCTGAACTGTTCCCACCTGAAGAAACACCCTCCCTCCCACCAATCATCTTTCAGTGCCATGACTGTCTGTTGAGCACCGACTAGATGACAGACATCGAAACACAGAGATGAAGGCGCCAGAGGCGGTCCCTGCCCTAGACGGGGCTTCGGTTTGGGGGCGGTGAGTCTGAGAGGTTTTGACAAAACATGGAATCCCAGACGGTTCTGCTTGTAATCACAGACTGGTACTCTTCATAGTTTTATGCATGTATTCTCCATTTAGAGGATAAAACCAAACATCCACTTTCTCTGGAGATTGGTTACCCTGGAGGACAGCCGAACTTCAAATGCCGGCTGGTTGCACTGCCCCCTGCTGTCCCATTCTGGGAAGAGCAGCTCTCGGGTGTTTTTTAACATGGCTCTGAAGAGGGCTTCAAAGTGAGACGGGACAGAGAGGTGATTAAGGGGCACAAAGCTCCCAGGTAAGGATGCCAGCCCAGGCTTTGCAGCTTGCTAGCTGGGTGATCTTGGGAAAGTTACTTAACCTCTCTGAACCTCAGTTCCCCATATCTCAATTGGGAATAATAGTACCTGGCTCATGCAGTTGTTGTGAGGATTCAATCAGCTAACACGGGAAGCCACGTGAAGACCACTTAGCACACTGTCCGGGCAAAGCCTCAGTGCATCCTGGCTTTCGTGAAGCCAATCCTGCCACTCCGTCTATGGTCGTTTGGGCCAAAGATCAGAGACTGAGCCAAAGGATGTCCCTTAAGATCCATTTCCCATCGGCCAGGGATGAACCAACCCAACAAACACTTCCCTGCTGGGGTCGGAGGGAGAGGCAGAGAGAAAGGCCACCCCGAATGACCCAGCTTCCAGAGCGGAGCGGCTGCCATTTCCTCACGCTAAACCCCCAAGACCTAAACGGACCTGGGAAACTCTCTACTGCCAGATAGAGCTGAAGGAACAGAAAATGCATGCTGAAGTTCTCACCTGAGCACATCACTGTGTCCTATTTTGAACCTTCTCATCTTCTAATCAGCGTCCCCCACATCTGAGGGTTTTGTTCACATCTGCTGTCAGTTCCACGACTAAGATGTCATTCGTCCCTGCTGGGTTTTTTGGATTCGGTACTCCTCTTCCCCACGTTCAGAATGTCAGAACATTCTGATTAGTCTCAACTCTTCCTTTTTTGTGTGTGGCTTTTCTTTTACATCAAATCCACTCCTATCACTGCCTTGGCTGACAGTTCTGCCTCTTATCTGGGAGTGGAGGTGGTTGGTTCTGAGTCGGCACCTTTTCAGGTCACCTGAGCAGAAGAACAAGCGTATCCAGTGAAAGAGAGTGTGTCCTGACCAGCCAGAAGTACTCAAACATGCTTTCAGAGGCCCGTGGTCCGGAGTTTGCATCTCTGCTCCATGGTTCCCTGGCTGTGAGACCTCGCTAATTAGTTACGTAACCTCTTCAACTCTCACTTTACACCATTTGCAATATTTACATCATAACATTATTCATACTTCTTAGTGTTATTACGTGCAGTAAACGTTAGCTATTATGACTGAGCACCTACCATGTGCCACACCTGGGCTAGA